TTTTATTGTGAGAGCAGTCAAAGACAATGCATAATGGAATCACTGTGGCTATGTTCCAGTAAAACTTTATTTCAACAGCAAGGAGTCTGTGGGGTTGAGTTTACTTATCCTTGAACTAGAATGTTAGCTAAATCAGAACCTAAAAATTAGTCATATGGTAAAAATAGCTGATAATTATTTCCCAAAGAGTAATGATAAATGAGTACTACATGCCATCATACCCTAAGCATTGTAAAACAAGCACTGTATAAGGAATTGGAACAATGTGAAACCCTTTCCAGTTATAACCAATATATTTTATTTCAAAATTGGACATATTTCTCACGTATTCCAACCAAAAATTCCCCAAAGAATTAGTGCCCAGAATCATCTCTGCCTTTTTTTTTCTTCCTTTGCATGGTCCAAATCAAAATATTGTCTCTAAGCTACGCTGCTGTTACACCTCCTTGGGCAATGATTTCAACTATTTTGACTGTCTGAACTGCTATAATTGTGTCAACATCTAGAATAGAATTAGATATTACCAAGACTTATTTAACCTAGTTTAGAAAACTTGAGTCAACAATATACATAGACAAAGGGTACAATCTTTAAACCAATTATATTTTCCAAAGATTGCTCTTGTTTTTCCATGTTATCTGAAATAGCAGTTTTAAAGGAGAGAAAAGAGAATATAAACCCTGCCAACTTTTAATTGTACTTGAGCTTTTTGTTATTTTGCTGTCAATTAATGATATAGATTCACCTGAAACGCATATGAGCAATTTGTGTTAATATCCTGTGAAAGGCTTACTAAAAGCAATTTGGAAAAGTGCAAGAGTAAGAAAGCACATAATTGAACAATTCATAAAAGAAAAGTTTTGTGAATAGCCAAGAACATACAAAAATATGTTCAACCTTATTCTTTTAAATTTAATAATTAAATATATGTAACTATAAATTATAAATACATAGTGAAATGATATGTGTGTGTACAGACACACATGGACACATACACATGTAATGAAATAAATCATTAATAGTCTTTTTTCACCTATCAGATTAAAAGGTACATGCATTGCAATCTTTCTAAAAGATAGTGGAAAATATGGATCAGATAGAAATGAGCACATTTTGACCAACTATTTTATTTTTAGAAATTTACCTATAGGGAGTTTTCAAAGATGTATGTAAACTCAAAGGTACTTAAATTGCAGCTTTAGTTATACTTGTAAAATTTTAAGTAACCTTTATCAAGTCATAAAACTAGGGAAATTATTAATGATAGATTTTCCAGTTGGATTGCATTTAGTTATATGTGGTATCGTATATCAAATTAATTGATAATGGGTATCAGGTTTTTCAAAAGTTCATTTGTCCAGCAATTATGGAGCACCAATTGTGTATTAGGCATTAAAATTTTGTTTCCTTCATGTAAAATGATATAATATGTGCTTGTTTGGATATGGTCAATAAATCAATTTCATAGAAAGAATTCACAAAATGCTAATAGTTTACTACTTAATTTGTATATGGGGTATGTGTATATGTAGTTTCAAATATATGCTTACATATATGTCATGTTTCATTTATGTATAGCATTTATTGAGTTTTTAAGTATATGTATCACCTGCTGAGATAAACACTTTCATGAATTATCTCATTTAATGCTCGTAATAACCATACAGAGTAGCATATTTGTTCCTTTTTTTAAAATAAGAAAAAAGATGAGTTTGATCGTGTAATTTATCCTATTATTCACAACTTTAAATAAAAGACCTGTGGTGTTACAGCCTTTGGAATATAATTTAAAATGTTTATAGTTTGCTAAATCCATTGAGCAAAGTGTTAGCTATTCCAGGGACAAGAGGAAAAGATGAGTAGCACATTGATTTGTGGGAAATTCCATGGCATACACTCAGAAAGAATGCCCTCTAGAAGTAAGAAGTACCAGTGCTTGGGATATGGAACATTATTTCTCAGCAGAATCTGTTTCTTGGATAAAACACCATGGGATCTCATATCAAAGTCCCAAGAGAAATGATTAATATGAGCAGGTCACCACATGGAAGAAACCATCTTTGAAATAAACTTGATGACAGGCAATCCCATGACATGATCACTGCAGATATCACAGAAAAGGCCAGTGAGAATCTCTGAGCAAAGGATATCCCAACTACTACAGAGTTAAATGTTATCATCTCCTCTTAGGATACTTTTCCAACTGTCATTATCAGTCTATGGTCTAGATTCTATCAGTTTGCCCAACTCTTTGAGTATGTGCTCCATTATCAGTTCACTTTTCCCCATTTATCTGTATTCATTCTAACTCTCTTCTAAAGACAACATTTTGTAACTTGAAAGTGCAATTAATTAGCAATTCTGAGCTAACAGGTAAAATGTTGGCAAAAACAAGAAGCAGTGGGAATTGTGATGTAAAACCTGCCTCACTATAGAACATCGGTATAAAGTATGTCTATTAATTTGATTGGCCTATAACATAAGGAATGTCCTATGCTATTCTAACTACCTTTTTATCTCCTGGTATTTTGAGGGGAAATATATAAGATACTTAAAATTGGGGTTCTGGAAATTTGAAAATACTGAAGGAGAAAAAGGAGTACATAAGGAGAAAGCAGTCGTGGATGGGTAAGGCTGCATCAGTCAGAGAAACCCTTGGACTCTAAGCAGTGAGCCACGTCTGATTTTGAATTTGATACAATTTAGGAAAGTTTGGACCTGATGAAACTCTTTAAGGATAAGAAAACTGATTGATGGTAAGATATTTATAGTGTCACTATACTTTTATGAGAATGAATGAATGAATGGAGAAGGAGGATAGAAAGTAAAGTTTTTTACAGAATGGTGTAATAAACATAGTAAGAATAGAAAATATAAAAAAGCCACTCTGACAGTAGCTATAATAATTGTTTCAGCCAGGAACCATTAAAGAATGTTAAAACCTATTGGAGAAAATCATGGGAGAAATAGGTTACTTGTATAATTTGTGATTATGTCCTCCGTAAAAGGAAAATAACTTCATGACAGAGACCCTGGAAGACATTATTTGAATAACAAGATGAAAGTTGGTACCACCTAGCATGGGACCATCTGTTATTACTGAGATGAAGTACTCAGAACATAGCCTCATGTCTGTAGTATCTCATACTAAAATGCATAAACTTGAATCTACTCAGTGAGATATCAGATCCCAATTAAGTGACATCTTACTAAAAAACAAACAAACAAACAAACAAACAAAAGCTGAGTCATTAGTCTTCACACATTTATATCACTGGGAAAATGTTCCAATTTAAGTCAGACTAAAAAAGACTTGAAAGCTGGGCCTCCCCAGTGGCGCAGCAGTTGAACGCTGGGTTGTGAAGCTGCCCACAGCCTCTGCAGCACCGGTTCGATCCCCGGCTGCTCCCCGGCCACCAGAGGAGGGTCCCACATCGCGTGCAGACCTCTCCTGCCGCCCGTTGCTCCCCTCAGCAGTGTACTTTGGTCCTTCTGCCTGCTCTGCTCCCCGCTCTGGCTCTGGTCAATACTCTCACCCTCCCACGCTTCTGACTCTACCCGGTGCTTGTATAAATAAATAAATAAATAAATCTTAAAAAAAAAAAAACTTGAAAGCTGAATATATATTGATTTGAGATCTCTATAAAAGACACTAAAGGAAAAATTACCAAAATTTTAAGATCATCAAATACAGTATTATTTAATACAGGTATTAATTTCCTAACTTTGTGATTATACTACAGAAAATCCTTGTTGTTTTTAAAAGATTTATTTTTATTTATGCATTCAAGAACTGGGGTGAAGGTCAGAGGTGAAAGGGGATGAGAGGATTCATCTGACAGAGTGGGGAGCAGGACAGGCAGATCTACTGAAATACACTGCTGAGGGGAGCAATGGGTAAGACAAGAGATGTCTGCTGGACATGTAGGTTAGCTCCCCAGCCAGGCATAGAACTCATGTTGCAGTGACTGGTGATAGTGTGATAGTTCTGAGACTTAACCCCTTGAGCCACCAGGGAGGCCCCAGAAAATCCTTGTTTTTAAGAAATAAAAGTAATTCAGTGCATGAAGGGACTTTAGAGCTGCCACTTTAAAATTGTTTGGATAATATGATATATGAATAGAAGTATTTCAAGAAATAAGTAGAGAAAGTGAAAACTATCATTTGTGTGGCAAGGACTGTAAGTGTGAGGATGCCTGCATGATAAAAAATTACTACTGTACTTAATTTTTTAACAAATTTTGTATATTTTTATCTGACATTTTTTGTGATTTTTTTATAGGTCAAAGGATATAACAAGTTTACTGTATTTTAGGGAGGAAAGGTAAGTTGCTACTCTGATGTTTTTGAAATTCTTTGAATGTTATAGCCAGTGATGTCAGAACATGAATTTCTTTTCATTCATTATTTCAGAGGCTATTGTGGGAATTTTTATGATAACTATTTTCCTCCAATTATGTGCCTACTGTATTAAAGGAATCCTTATTATTGTTTCTTTCCTTTATTAAAAGTCTGTTTTGAAACAACTTGGATAACTTTTGGAAATAATTGATGTATTTCCTTTTTTATAGTTCAGGTATAATTGACATGTATTATTAGTTTCATTTTATGCCTTTTTATAGTTTATGAAAATGATCTTGTAATTAAATTTAAATGTGCCAAAATATTTATCACTTTTATGACTGGCACATTCAGAATATAGTTATTTCTGTTCATAATTCTACTATAATCACACCTTATTTCCTGTCATTTACAAATGCTACTATCTCACAACTCCTTGACATTTCACTTCACTAAATTTTTGTTTTCCCAAAAGATTTTATCTAATTTTATTAGAACTATTTGAGGTACTATATCCTTGTACTATGCGTACAAGAATTCCATCATTAGATATTATGTGAAATGTCTACAGTATATTTCCTTTTTTCTACTCATAATGTAATAGGTCAGTTTGAACAAATAAGCTGAGATGTGGAAATGATTACTTCTTAGCAGGGTGCTTGTCTGGATCAATGATGAGAAAAATTGTCTGAGGATGCTGAGGGACTCATTCCAGATGTCAATCTGAGGTCCAGATGAGTGACCCTTTACTAGGACAAATCAGACTCTCAGAGCCTGACTCTCAGAGCCCAAGACTGCTGTGAGCATGTGTTTTCTTTCTTTTGGAGCAAGTAATTAGCATCTTATTTGTGAGGCAGTCTGCTCCTAGATATGCTGATACACTAACCCAAGTCTTGCTTTATTTTCCTCTATTTGAACTGACTTGTAGATAGATTCGTGTATATAGGAAATAGGTTCTTGAATAATGAATGAGGAAACAAGAAAGATTGAATTAAGAAGGGGTCAAGCAACTGTGCTGGGTACTGAAAGTCCTACTAGTTTTGGGCTAAAAGAAGGGAACATCAAATGCCCTTATTAAATGTTGACAGCAAAATCAATTTTAGTGCTTTTTTTTGTTTTTGTTTTTTAAAGATTTATTTATTTATGCTTACAAGAGCTGGGGTACAGGCCAGAAGTGTGATGGGGGGAGGGTGAGAGTATTCACCAGAGACAGAATGGAGAACAGAACAGGCAGATTAACTGAAATACACTGTTTGAGGGGAGCAACGGGTGAGTCAGGTCTGCTGCACCATGTGTGTTGCTCCCTGGCCAGATGGGGGATCGAACTTATGCTGCAGTGGCAGTCAGCTTTATAGGTTGCGTCTTAACTCCTTGCGCCACCAGGGAGGCCCTTAGTGCTTTATTTTGAATGTTGGTTATTTCCTGAGACTATGTCTTTGTTTCTTGTTCTGTCATGTTTATCTGAGGTAGAATGAATGGATGGAAGGTGGCCTTCTGCTTCATAGAGTGGGGGTGAACCAGGATCCTGTCAAATTCACATGTCACCTGGTTTGTGCCACATCCTGAGCTCTCTTCAGTGGCTACTGGATAAGATCTTCATGATATGTACTATTCTTTGGTGAGTGTCTCTCCCTTCCATTTCTGAAATTTTAATTTTATTTTAATCTGATTTTTTAGTTGACTGGCAAATACAGAATTTTTGACAATTGTTAACTTATTTTACATTTCATATTACATTGAAAAACATCCTTTTGTAAAATGTAACTCTGAGGAATTTCCTTAACACATTGTGATTTCAGGATGTTGTGCCCATGATTAAAATCAGCATAGATCATTTTGGTCAGATTCATAAGATTATTATGGATCATTATTGCTATTCTTTTTAACTTTAGGTTTTGACTTTAAATAATTTAGTTATGGGGGCCTCCCCGATGGTGAGGCGGTTGAGCTCTGGGTCGTGAAGCTGCCCATAGCCTCTGCAGTGCCGGTTTGATCCCCGGCCACCGAGCAAGGGTCCCACATGGCACGCAGACCTCTCCTGCTGCCCACTGCTCCCCTCAGCAGTGTGCTTCGTCAGTCTGCCTGTTCTGCTCTCTACTCTGGCTCTGGCGAATTCTTTCACCCTCTCTCGCTTCTTACTGTACCCAGTGCTTATATAAATAGATAAATAAATCTTTAAAAAAATTAGTTATGTTATGTGTAAACATTTCTGTCTTATGAGAGCTGCTAAGATCTTGACGCCAGTAAATGATAAAAATCATGAAGCACTTCACTTCTCTAAAAAAGAAAAAGTTCAATTTTTCTTACTGTGGTGGCCTTACAAAGGATATTAGGTTAGGTAATTATATCAAGCAAAAATTAAATTTCATATGTTGAATCATTGATCATTATTTGTTGTTAAAATGGAAACATCTGTTAATAAGAAAAATAGTATGACCCAGTAATATCCATGGCTGAATGAGAGTCAAATGTCCAATCAACCTGTGGATATCTCTGGCTAGTGTCATTTATATACATGTTGACTAATAACTCTTGCATACCTGAAACTTACATATTATGCCATGTTAGTTCAATTAAAATAAATGAATTGTCATGTAGTAAAAGTAAAGTAAAGTGGATACCTGATTTAAAGCATTTGTTTGTTTAGCCCAGTGCCTGACCTTCCTCAGGAGAGTTTCTATTGTTTAATTTTTTTTTTCCTCAGTGTGTGGAACATATTTTCTTGTTTCTTTGAATGCCTAGTACCTTTTTGTTGAAGATAAGACATCTTAAATATAATGCAACAGTGCAAATCAGATGATCCCTTTCCCAGAGTTTGTTGTTGATTTTTATTGTAGTTACTTGTGGTGTGTGGCCAGCTTACAGGCATGGTATCACACAGAACTTCAGTCCTACCTGAGGGATAGAAATACATGACAAGCAGATGCAATTCTTGCACAAGGGCAAACACAGGCATTGATTTTTTTACCTAAGAACTTGATTGTTTCTCAAGTTTGCTAATGATTTCTCTACATTTCATAGGTGGAGGTAGTATGGAAAGTGCTAACTCTACAAAGAAAAGACCTTCCTCCCCTGGAGGTATTCAGGAATCCTGAAGAAGTGTGGCCCAGAGTGTGCACTGTCCCTATGGATATCAGACAATGGTATGCAATACTTTATTCCAAGGTCTGCAGTTTGTTTAGGGATTTTTTTCATAAACCTGTCTTAGGAGCTGTTTGTCTCCAGATTGCATGAACTCTTCCTCTGGTTCAGTGTCTTAGCTCTGAATCCTCCAGGTTGCTGGAGGACTCTGTGTCCTCGGATTGCCCACTGAGCTGTCCAGCATGGACTCTTAAAGTCTGCAGCCTCTTTGAATGTGCTCGGATCAATGATGACTCCCCTCAAATGCATTCCTTGGAAAGCTGAACAAAATGAGTGAGAACCCTCTACCGTCGTTCTCATTGGATCTGAGGTCCAGCACATTGTCTGATCCAGGGATGGTAGGCTGAGGAGAGCTTCTTCACTCATGCAACCACCATCAAGAACATCAACATTTTAATTCCTGTGTTCTTAGAGTCCTTTGTTTCCCTACATTAGTTGGGTGTCTAGAAAGGACATGAATAGTTAAATGGCCACTGCTTAGTGGTATGATGACTAGCCTACATCCTACTCTGAGAAGTTGGGTAGTGAGTGTATTGTTGGCATAAGCCTAGTTACCTAACGGTATGTATCTGGTTAGCATGATTGCCACTTTAGTGGCTTTCCTAGAATCTTTATCTTAGAACCTTAGTGTGAAGTTTCCATAGTTTCTGATTAGAGCCTAAGGCCAGATAATTGGTGAAAATTTGTTAGAGCCTTTTTTCTCTACAAGGAATTTGAACTCTTCCATGCTGTTAGAAGGGTGAGGAGGTTGAGAAATTAGGTCTTTGTAATGCAACTGGCATCTCCTCTGCTTCACAACTCACCCAAACAACACTCAAGGTGGACCATCTTGGAATATGCTTATACCTAGCAATGAAATCAAGATTCTGTGCTGACTGATTCCCTGCAGAAGAAGTAAAGGGCAAGGAGAGAAAATGGCATAATGTGTTTTAGTGGAATCTATTGTTTCATTTTGTTTCAACTATTGTCATTGGCTTTCTGAGAATGTCTTTGGTACCTGACGAGTCTGTCAGGGAAGCACAGTCTATATTCATTGGCAAGGCGGTAGATGGATTTTCATTAATTTGCATCTCAATTTCATAATAGCAGCATTCAATGTTTCTCTCCCCAGTACTTTGAAAGGGTTCTGCTAACCCACAACTTGTGTCTGGGCATTCCTATTTAGATTGTTTAGGTGAGTCTTCCCTTTGGCCCTTTGCCCCATTGGGCACAGAGCTTCCAAGGTGAAAGAATTACTCCAAGAAGACTCAATTTTCTTGGCATATTGGCCTTCCTATGCTTAGGAGAGGTTTGGACTTATCTCTTGCAGCCTGTGAGGTGACCAAGACAGTGAGTATTACAATCATTGGTGTATTGCTACAGACAGATAGCTACCTTGGAAAATATCCATATGTCCTTGTATAGGAAATGTGTTCATTATCATTTCTTTCTCTTATTTTCCTGGATGAAGCATATGAACTTTGTGAGGTGGATGTATTGTTACCATACAGATGGAAGACACCTATGTTGAAGTCTGTAGGGTTGCCTTATGAAAGGGAGACATCCTTTGTGTCTCCTCCCTGACTGACACAATCAGTCATGGGAATGTAGTATTTTCAGAGATTTTTTTTTTTGAGGAATTCCCTTTCTGGATTTGAAGATGTTAGTTTGGACCAGATAGCTGAGTGTTGGAACTTTCCTTCTGTCAGGGTATAAAGTGTGTGGCTATGAAAATACAAAGCCCATGGATTGGAGTGTGCCTAGTTTGGTCTGGTTTTATCCTAGGTATGTTAGTGGAGACCACTGCTTCATGATGGATTTCTCACTCCCTCTTTGTGGACATTTGATTTAATTACAAGGAAAGGTTACTGACCAGAAGTCACTAGGCAATTAGGAAAGATGATTTGCTTTAGTCTTTTACCAGTATCCCAATGGTGGCAGCTATTAAGTCAGATGCTTTTATTGTTCAAGTGTTGGCTGATTTCCACCAAGGACAGTTCACATGTGAAAGGTTACTGGAAATTATCCACATAGAAATAATTTCTTTGGTTGGAAGACAGTGTGTAGAGTAAGTAGGTTCTGGTAAGAAGTAGTAGTGGTGTGGAAGAAAGATTCCATGGCATATTTCTGCAGTTACAGAGGTTGCTATTGATAACTTTTCTTGGGGAGTCACCATCTTGTGGTGTAGAGTCATTACATCAAAAGCTCTTATTCAGGTGATACAGTATTCATAATTGTACATGAACACAAATAAACATGCATACATACCTGAAATCCTAGGTTAGCATACCTAGGGGATAGAGATATGTCACAAGTATATGAGAGGCTTGTCCAAGGTTTCCGAAACCCCTTGCACTAAACTGTTACCTGTGAACCTAGGTACATATCTAATGTATGCAAATGATTTCTCTACACTTCTCAGGTGGAGTTGGTATGGAACTGCCCATAGCAAAGGAATCAGGACATTTCTCTCCTTATATGGCTGGAACTGCATGGGTGACACAGAAAAAGTGTGATCGTGGGATGCACCATACCCCTGGTTAACTCACAAAGTAAGGATCTTTTGACCTTGTTTCAGCCATTCCAATTGGTTTTTCGTGGGATCTTCCTGAGTCTGTTTGTGTCCTGCGTAACATGTGTCCTGGAGTGAATTGATTCTTGCTCTGGAAAACAGGTTTTATCAGGACCTTCCAGCTGGCTGGAGGACTATGAATTCATTGGCTTACCTATTTATAAGCCCAGCTGGGATTGCAAAATTTTCATACAGTCTGATGTGCTTGGATCGATGATGACTCCCCTCAAATGCATTCCTTGGAAAGCTGAACAAAATGAGTGAGAACTCTCTACCGTCAGCGTTCTCATCGAAACTGAGGTCCAGCACATTTTCGTATCTAGGGATAGCAGGAGTGAGGGACAGCTTCCTCATTGTCACACTCAAACAACCACCACAAAGGGTGTTAAGATGTGAGGTCTTCCCATCATGGGTTAATATTGTCTCTGCATTGGCTGGGTGTCCAGAATAAGAGGTAGTAGTTTGAATGGCCATTCATTGATGAAAGGGTGGCCAGATCCCATCCTCATTCAAAAAGCTGCATGATATGGTTTTGCCACAGGCCCAGGGAGCTGAAGGCATGGAATTTTGTTGCTAGTTTCCCAGCTCAGGATTACTGCTGAATCTATATCTAGCCACCGAATAGCAGAAACTTCATAGTTTCTGAAGAGAGGCCATAGCCCGCAAGTCTTGTTAATTGTTCTTTTGCTTTGCTTTCTTGAGGAAAATTGAGCTCCCCACACAGTTGCATTGATAGGTAGTTTAAGAAGTTAAACACCTCCATATCACATGTGTATAATAACAACTATAATGGCCAAATTTGACTATATTACAAACATAGCTTGGAAATCAGAATGCTGTTCTAGCTGGTGTCCTGGTTTAATCTGATTCCACTGATATCTGTGATCACAATGTCTCCTTTTGTTCCAATCACTGTCATCAACCTTCAAGCTCTGTCTCTTCCCATCTCAGAGATGTCAGTTGGTGTCCACCAGGGAAGGCTTCAGAGTCCATGTATGGTGTGGGGTAGATCTGCATTGATCACTGTTGTTCTCGATTCCAGAGATATAGCCACCTAGTGGTTTCACTTAGTATCTCAGCGGGACCTGATGACCCAAGTCTGTAGCCTGCTGCCATATTCCTTAAAAACTAAGAGACTGTTTCCTTTGATCCTTTGTCTCCTTAAATGCAGAGCATCTAAGGTGAAAGTGTGACAAAGAGAAGTCTCATATTCTTCCAGTTGTTTCACATCCTCTTTGAACGTTTTAGATTTATCTGTGGCAGCTTTCAGTATGTCCATGACTGTGATAACTGCATTGGATATTTGTCTACCTTGGAAAATGTCCAAGGAAATTTTTTTATTCTATTTGTCATTGATATAGTTTTTGAGCTCTGTGATATGTTATATTAATGCATGAAGTAGAGGAATCAATGCAGAATCCCATGGGACTGACTTACATGATGGGGAAATCCTTCTTGTCTGGTCTCCCTGGCTGACATGATGAGTAACAGATGGCTAGTATTCCTGTGCACTTTTATTGTGGAATTTACTTCTGAGTTAATGTTGCTACTTAGGACAATATGGCCAAATGTTTGTTTAAAAGTTACCTTGTGGCCAGGGCATTGAAACTACTGGCTGTGGAAATGCAAAATCGTAGATGGGCTGTGCACTAGGTGCTGGTGGGCTTTTCCCAGGGAGGTGGTGGTGGAACACCATCACTGTCCAGCAGATTTCCAACTGGGCCCATTTGTATTTATGTCTTAGGGAGAAGGTGACTGGATGATGGCAGTCGTACTGCCATTAAGATTACAAAGGACAGTTTTAACTCTGTAGCCAGTTACCCAGATGTCCCCATCTTTAAGTTAGAGGTATTTATTGTTTTGGTAGCTAGGGGGTTTTAATCAAGTCTAGTTCTCCTGTGAGTAATTGGGGGGGGGGTATTATTTCCAGCTTGACATCTCCTTGATGGTGAGGAATAAGTGTGGATGATGTCTGTGCTCTCTGCTCAGAAGTTGTCCGGTGGCCTCCCCAGTGGCACAGTGGATTGAGTGCCGTGCTGTGAGGCTGTCTGCAGCCTCTGCAACACGGGTTTGATTCCTGGCTGGCCAGGGAGAAACCCACATGGCGCAGCAGACCTCTTCTGCTGCACCCGCTGCTCCCCTCAGCAGTGTCTTTGGTCGTCTGCCTGTTCTGCTCCCCGCTCTGTCTCTGGTGAATTCTCTGACCCCCCTGTGGCTCTGATTGTACCCAGTTCTTGTATAAATAAATAAATGTTTAAAAAAAAAAAAGAAGGTTGTGGTTGGGAGAGAGGCACTCCAGGAATATTTTAGCAACTTATGGATTTCAAGGTTGTATCCTTCCTTTGGGGGTCACAGTCTTGCTCAGTGGCTGTGCCACAAACTTGAGGACCTGATCACGGACCTAGTGCATGTTCTGCAAGGTGCTGGAGTCTCTGCAAACACACTTAATTGCACACCTGCATACACACCTACGTGCATGCTATCACAAAATCCTAAGTCAGATGTAAGGGAGAGAGGTACATGAAAGCATATCCACATCTTGCCCTGTGGATCTTTTGTCAGTGATCTTGTGCACTGAGACCTGGTTACCCTTCTGAATTGTGTATATGACTTCTTATACTTCTCAGGTGGAGTTGGTGGTAGAAGACTCACCATCTGTACAGAAAATAAGGCTTGGTCTATTTGATGTCCAGAAGATGGTGAGAGCTGTGACATTGTCCCAGGAGTGTACCATACCCGTGGATTATCATTGTGGTAAGTTATCCTTTTTCCCAGCTAGGATTTCTAGACCCAACTTAGAGGCTGTTTGTCCTTCCATCATCATGCATGGGGTTTTATTTTTAGAGTCAAAGAACTCTCATTCTATGCTAGTGGATTGGCTCTGGACATTCCAGAGCTAGGGGGTCTGGGTCACTGACTTAGCCACTGAATGACCCAGCCTGGATTATTAAATTTTGTTGCCCCCATGAATGTGCTTGGATCGATGATGACTCCCCTCAAATGCATTCCTTGGAAAGCTGAACAAAATGAGTGAGAACTCTCTACCGTCGTCGTTCTCATCGAAACTGAGGTCCAGCACATTTTGTAACATGAAACATTAGGAGTGAGTAACAAGGTTCCTTAATCCCTCTCATCTTACCACCACCCAGGACATCAACAGTTAATTGACTGTTATCATAGATTTAATAGTCATTGCATGTGTTAGAGAACGGTAATAGAATATCACTGATTGAATTACCACTCATTGATGGTATTGCACCCAGCAAACACATGAATCTAGAAGTGGAAGAATGGTTTGTTGACATAGCCCCATTGAACTTATGACATGGAATTGGATTACCTTTAGCATCTCAGAATTACTACTCATGGGTATCTGTCTTGGTGCTGCAGGGCAAAGCTGCAAAAGCTTTGATTAATAATAAGACCAGTAAACCTGTGGTTTATTCTTACTTTTGAGTCTGTTAGGAAATTTGAGCTCTGTATGGACATGGTGGTAGGTACTTGGGCAAATGCAATCACATTGATGAAATGGCAATTCCTGTGGGTTAGCACTAAACCAATCAACCCACAAGATGGTAAACCATAGCAATGCTATAGATTTAGCAATGAAATGACAATGCTGAGCTAATGCCCTATACAGAAAGGGAGGTGTAAGAAATGATTGGTAATAGCAAGACTTTAGAGGCTTCATTGGAATATATGGTCTGTCATGTAATCCATCCACTGTCATAGATTCTCAGCAGATGATGTTCTGGTCACTGAGATGTTGGCAGCTATGCTGATCATGGTCTTTGAATGTGGTTCCATGAATGTTAGATGATCCTTCATTAGAAGGTGTCTCTATACCAGAGCAGTTCTGTGCAGTCTTTCTCTACCAAGTACCTTGAAGCTACTCACTGGTATGATACTATTCCCAGCCCCCCCTGGTAAGGGAACTTAGAGGAATATTGACTTTGAGCTTTTATCTCTTCAGCATGGGAATACAAGGTGAAAGCACTACTTAGGTTTGATTTTTTCTGGAATTTCCAATATACCCTTCAGAAGATCTTAGATTCCTGTGTGGTGGCATGTGAACATATCTGAATCTGAGTGCTTTGAATACTAGTCACATGGACAGATGTCTACTTTGCAACGGCTGCATGTTGCAACAGCTGTATAGACATGGGCAGTGACATGTTCTCTTTTCAGTCTTGCTCTGGTGCTCACGAATGTAGTGTTTGAGCTCTGTGAGTTGGTCTTGTTTATGCAGAAGACGATTCTTATGATGAATCATATGTGATCACTGAAAGTGAAGAGTAAATTCTTTATGGCAGTCTCTCATGACTGATCATCATGAGGAAAGCATAGGACATCTAGTGCTTTAATGATATTTATTATGAGAACTCATTTCCTAAATTGAGGGTTCTTCTGAGGACAAGAAGGGCAGGTGTCAGAGACTTGTCATGATTGACCAGAAAAATTACTGTGGTCACCAAGTTCATGGATGAATTGTGACTAGTTTCAAGTTGGTTTTTACAATGGAATGGTCTAAGAGAAAACCATTCATGTACATGTTGATATAGCCTCTGTGGTTTGGACAGAGAGGTAGTTTATGTGAGTAGACTTAAAGGTAGTTTATGTGAGTATAGTCCAAAGCATAGTTCAACAATGTAAAGATTTAAAACATTAAATACATTAATTTCAACTCATCAGGATTCTCTTGTAAGGTAGAAGAATATCCAGTCATAGCCATCAATGGAGTCATGAGATAAAGGTAGATAACAAGAAAAAACAATACTTACCGGGATAAATTATAGGTGTTTTCTATTAGTTTGGAACTTCTCAAGATATGAAATATCTTATTTTCACAGTATGAATAGAAGACGTGTTAATAATAGAAGATTACTAGTTGTGTGGAAGATGGAGAGGACCCAAGGATCAACTGGATAAATAAAGATGGTAAATATTATTATTTCCATATATAATTTCAAGTGGGATCTTAACATGAATTTAGAGATGCTTCTGCTGGCTTAGTATACAATGCAGCTTTTTGTCCCAAAGATGAATAACCCTTACCTACACAAACATGATGACTATGGGAACAGAAAGAGAAGCAATAATCACAACTGATGTTACTAAAAACCAAGTCAACAGACTTGGATTTCTAAAAGCCCAACCCACATCGAATGTGCTTGGATCGATGATGACACCCCTCAAATGCATTCCTTGGAAAAGCTGAACAAAATGAGTGAGAACCCTCTACTGTCGTTCTCATCGGATCTGAGGTCCAGCACTGTTTGAGTGGGATGGCAGGAGAGAAAGAAAGCTTCCCTTTGACCTCAAACATGCACATATCAGTCAGGAGGCAAACATCACACATTCTGCAGACTTCAAGCCAGCACATTTTCCACAAGAGTGAATGGGTATGAGAGAAGCATGCTCCTTGGTCAAGTGGCTTCTCTGTGATTGCAAGGGTGTGGTCCCCACAGGCCTAACCCTAGAGGCTCTATCACACAGGCCGTCTGTCATTCATCAGGGACAGCACTGATTTTGACAGAGGAGGGCATTAGGCCCTGGAACAACTTTCATAATTCATGCTGCTTGACACCTTTCTAAAGCGTTGGTGTGCTCTCTCAACACCTGTCAGGTGCAGCTGGCGAGAGGGATGGCTCTCTGGGCACAGAGGGAGGAAGACCTTACTACCCTCAGAACACCAGAGGTGCTGGCGAGGCCCACAAGGCGTATGGACGGGAATACTCCATGCCCTTGGGTGCACACAAAGGGTAAGCAGCCCTCTTGTCCAGGTGCAGCTATGGGTCCTGGCAGGCAACAGACCTGCCTGGCAGGTGGTTATTGAGCCCTTCCCAATGGCATGTGGGGCTTGACTCCCGGAGTAGGACTTTCTCAGTCTGAATGATGGTCTCACTTCTACTGGGTCTAGAGGCCTGTGGGGATATAACTAGTCTGCCCAGAACCCACCTTGAATTCTAAAAGTGTGGTGCAGCCTCTTTGAATGTGCTTGGATCGATGATGACACCCCTCAAATGCATTCCTTGGAAAAGCTGAACAAAATGAGTGAGAACCCTCTACCGTCGTTCTCATCGGATCTGAGGTCCAGCACTCTGTCTGACCCAGGGTGGTAATAGAGAAGGAGAGCTTCCCTTGCCCACAAACAGGCAGCCATCAGCCAGGGGCTGGGAAATCATCACTGTGACCTAAAGTCCAGTGAGTTCACCCCAACACTGAGCATATGCCCATGAAGCAGACCTATGTTGGTTGAGTGGTGCTTTGTGTGCTCCTACTTTTGGTGTGGCATTCTTGGCCCTGGAAGGCACTGTCACACACACCTTTGATCACATCACAGGGATAGAGCTGAATGAATGCAGAAAGCATTTTTCGCTGGCCTAAACTTTGGTGCACATCACGGTCCTGAGTACCTTCTGAAGTGTGTGTGTTTTCTCTCAACACCTCTCAGGTGCAGTTGATGTGAGTGGGATAGTTCACCATGCAGAGAGTGGGGAAAACCTTACTGCCATGGAAGACGGGATGTGCTGCAGAGCGTGGAGGACTGACACTGGGGTGCACCTTGTCCTTACACTGACATAAGGTAAGCTACCCTCTGCCCTGGGAGCAAACTCGGAATGGGTGGTCCCAGAGCACTCTGGAAGGAGGCTCATCTGTCCCTTCCCCAGTGTCAATGGGGATTGTCTCTGAGTGGATGGACTCTCCCTCTGGCTGAGGGCTGGGCTAAGCACGAGCAGGCTTCTGCATGTCTTAGGTCCTGGGCTACTGGCTGTGGCGCCTGCCTGGATTTCAAAAGCCTGAAACCTTAAATGTGCTTGGATCGATGATGACACCCCTCAAAAGCATTCCTTGGAAAAGCTGAACAAAATGAGTGAGAACCCTCTACCGTCGTTCTCATCGGATCTGAGGTCCAGCACGGTATCTGACCCAGGGTGGTAATAGAGAAGGAGAGCTTCCCTTGCCCACAAACAGGCAGCCATCAGGCAGAGGCCGGGAACTCATCACTGTGGCCTTAAGTCCATTTAATTCACCCCAACACTGAGCGTATGCCCGTGAAGCAGACCTTCATTGGTTGAGTGGTGCTTTGTGTTCTCCTACTTTTGGTGTGGCATACTTGGCCCTGGAAGGCACTGTCACACACACCTTCAGTCATATTGCAGGGATAGAGCTGAATGAATACACAAAGCATTTTTCGCTGGCCTAAACTTTGGTACACATCACGGTCCTGAATACCTTCTGAAGTGTGTGTGTTTTCTCTCAACACCTCTCAGGTGCAGTTGATGTGAGAGGGATAGCTCACCATGCAGAGAGTGGGGAAAACCTTACTGCCATGGAAGACGGGAGGTGCTGCAGAGCGTGGAGGACTGACACTGGGATGCACCTTGTCCTTACACTGACATAAGGTAAGCTACCCTCTGCCCTGGGAGCAAACTCAGAATGGGTGGTCCCAGAGCACTCTGGAAGGAGGCTCATCTGTCCCTTCCCCAGTGTCAATGGGGATTGTCTCTGAGTGGATGGACTCTCCCTCTGGCTGGGGGCTGGGCTAAGCACGAGCAGGCTTCTGCATGTCTTAGGTCCTGAGCTACTGGCTGTGGTGCCTACCTGGATTTCAAAAGCCTGGAACCTTCTTAAATGTGCTTGGATCAATGATGACACCCCTCAAAAGCATTCCTTGGAAAAGCTGAACAAAATGAGTGAGAACTCTCTACCGTCGTTCTCATCGAATCTGAGGTCCAGCACAGTGTTTGAGTTGGGACCGTAGGTGAGAGAGAGAGCTAACCCTTGAGCACACAAATGCACATCCCAGCCAGGAAGTCAATAACTAACATTCTTCTGGCATCAAGCCAGGGATTTTACCTCAAGATCAAGCCAGTGCCTGACAATCCAGACCCTTGGTGGCCTCACCTGGTGGTGCATTAAGTGGTCCCCACAGAACTAGGTCAAAGAGACTGTCATAGAGGCCATCTGTCCTTCCTTAGGGAAAGAGCTGATTGACAGCAGAGTATATTAGGCCCTGGGACTACTTTGGTACACATCATGTTTCTGGGTACCTTTCTGAAGTGTGGGTTTGCTCTCTTAGGTGAAGTTGGCAAAAGAATGGACACTATCCTCACTCACAAGGAAGAAGACTCTCTCCCCTCAGATCACCAGAGGTGCTGTCAGGTCTGTCGATGCAAGTAGATAGGAGTGCACAGTACCGGTGGATACTCACTAAAGTAGGCTGCCCTCCGCCACAAGTGCTGGTTTGGATGTTGGCAGGTACTAGACCTGCCTGACAGGTGGTTATTGCACCTTTCTGAGTAACATTTGGGGCTGAATCCAAGAGTGGAAAGACCTTCTCCCTGTTTGGCCCATGGTCTCCACACCCTCCGAGCTGCTGGAGGTGTATGTTAACCTGGGCTAGTCCAGGAGGGCGCCACCTTAAATTCCTAAAGTCTGTATCCTCTTTGAATGTGCTTGGATCGATGATGACACCCCTCAAATGCATTCCTTGGAAAAGCTGAACAAAATGAGTGAGAACCCTCTACCGTCGTTCTCATCGGATCTGAGGTCCAGCACGCTTCAACCTGGGATGGTAGGCGAAGGGAGAGCTTCCCCTATTACCACAGATATGCAGCCACAGGCAGGGGCCTTGCTTGCCCAGGGGGCAGCAACTCATAATCTGTGTCCCCTAAGTCCAGTACTTTAACCCAGTGTGAACTTAAGCCAGTGATGTAGCGTTTCATTAGTCTGGTAGCCGCTCTGTGCTGGTCCAGTTTTTATTGAGACGTCTTGGCTCTCAAAGGCACTATCACACACACCTTTGGTCACATCTCAGGGACAGAGCTGAGTGAATGCAGAGAGCATTTGGCCCCAGGTGAAACTTTGGTAGACATTATGGACCTGGGTACCTTATGAAGGTGTGTGTTTTCTCTCAACACTTCTCAGGAGCAGTTGACACAGGAGGGATCGCTCACCATGCACATGAGAAGAAAACCGTATTGCCATGGAAGATGGGAAGTGCTGCCGAATGTTGGAGGAGCGTCACTGGGGGTGCACCTTGTCCGTACATGCTGACATAGGGTAAGCTCCGCTCTGCCTCTGGTGAGAACATGGTACCAGTGGTCCATGAACTGCTGGGAGGAAGCTCATCCACCAGTGTCGAGGGGGATTGACACCCAGAGTGGATCATCCCTCCCTTTGGCTGGGCTCCATACCTGAAGACTGCTGGAGGTCTTAGGGTCCTGGGATTACTGGCTAGGCTGCCTGCCTGCTTTCTAGAAGCCTACAGCCTTCTTGATTGTGCTTGGATCGATGATGACACCCCTTAAATGCATTCCTTGGAAAAGCTGAACAAAATGAGTGAGAACCCTCTACCGTCGTTCTCATCGGATCTGAGGTCCAGCACATTTGAGTTAGGACCATAGGTGAGAGGGAGAGCTAACCCTTGAGCACACACATGCACATCCCAGCCAGGAGGCCAGTCACTCACATTCTGCGGGCTTCAAGGCTGGGTTTTCACGCTATCTGTGAATCAAGCTCCTTGGAGTAGTGGCTGCACTTGGTGGTGCATTGATTGGTCCCCACAGAACTAGTTCAAGGAGATGCAATCACAGAGGCCATCTGTCCTACCTCAGGGAAAGAGCTGAATTATAGCAGAGGGCATTAGGCCCCGGGGCAAGCTTTGGTACACATCATGTTTCTGAGTACCTTTCTGAAGTGTGGGTGTGCTTCTCAACACCTCTCAGGTGCAGCTGGCAAAAGAGTGGACACTGTCCTTGCTCATAAGGAAGAAGACCTCATTTCCCTCAGATAACTGGACAGGCTGTCAGGTCCATGGATGCAAGGATGGGAGTGCACACTACCAGTGGATACTCACTAAGGTAGGCTGCCCTCTGCCACGGATGTTGGCAGGTACTAGATCTGCCTGACAGGTAGTTATTGCACCTTTCCCAGTGACATGTGTTACTGAATCCAAGAGTAGAAGGACCTTCTCTCTGTCTGGCCCATGATCTCCACACCCTCCGAGCTGCTGGAGGTGTATGTTAACTTGGGCTAGTCCAGGAGGGCGCCACCTTAAATTCTTAGTCTATATCCTCTTTGAATGTGCTTGGATCGATGATGACACCCCTCAAATGCATTCCTTGGAAAAGCTGAACAAAATGAGTGAGAACCCTCTACCGTCGTTCTCATCGGATCTGAGGTCCAGCACTGTTTTCAGCGGTGAATGTAGCGAGAGGGAAAGCTTCCCATTGACCTCACGCATACACATACCAGCTAGGAGGCCACAAGCACACATTCAGCAGATTTCAAGCCCAGGGCTTTCACGTCAAGAGTGAGCAGGTGCCTGTGAAGCATAGCTCCTTGGGTAAATAGCCACACTGAGTTACACAGTATATTCCCCCCAATCCTAACCGTAGGAGGAATTATCACACATTCTGTCATCTCTCAGGGCAAGAGCTGATTGACAGCACAGGGCATTAGGCCCTGGGGCTACTTTGGTACACATCATGTTCCTGGGTACCTTTCTAAAGTGTTGGTTTGCTCTCTCAACACCTGTCAGGTGCAGTTGGCGAGAGGGATGGCTGTCTGGGCACAGAGGAAGGAAGACCTTGCTGCCCTCAGAATACCAGAGGTGCTGGCGAGGCCCACAAGGCGTATGGACGGGAATACTCCGTGCCCTTGGGTGCACACAAAGGGTAAGGAGCCCTCTTGTCCGGGTGCAGCTATGGGTCCCAGCAGGTAACAGACCTGCCTTGCAGGTGGTTACTCAGCCTTCCCAATGGCATGTGGGGCTTGACTCCCGGAGTAGGACTTTCTCAGTCTGAATGATGGTCTCCACTTCTACTGGGTCTAGAGGCCTGTGGGGATATGACTAGTCTGCCCAGAACCCACCTTGAATTCTGAAAGTGTTGTGCAGCCTCTTTGAATGTGCTTGGATCGATGATGACACCCCTTAAATGCATTCCTTGGAAAAGCTGAACAAAATGAGTGAGAACCCTCTACCGTCATTCTCATCGGATCTGAGGTCCAGCACGCTGTCTGACCCAGGATAGTCAGCAAGAGGGAGAGGTTCCCCCATGTCCACACATATGCAGCCAGAAGCCAGGGGGCCACAGCTCAGACACTATGGCCTTCAGTCCAGTGATTTCACCTAAATGTAGCTTAAGTCAGTGAAACAGAGCTTCATTAGTCACATGGCTGCTCTGTGGTGGTCCAATGTCTTGTTCTCACAACTTGGCCCTCAAAGGCACTATTATGTAAACACATCTATACTCATATCTCAGGGACAGAGCTAGAATAGCAGAGGACCTATAGCCCCAGAGAGACCTTTGGTACACATCATGTTCCTGGCTACCTTTCTGAATAATGGGTGTGCTCTCTCAATACCTCTCAGGTCCAGTAGGCAAGTAGAGTGGACACTTGCCTTGTGCAAAAGGAGGAAGACCTTGCTCATCTAGATAAATGGAGATTCTGGCAAAACCCTCAAGATGTGATAAGGGATTGCCCTATAATCCCGGACATCCACAAATGGTAAGCTGTCCTCTGACCTGATTGCAGCTATGGGTGGTAGAATGTACCAGAATCCCTTAGAGGCTGTTACTCTAACTTTTGCCAGTGGCATGCAGGGCTTGACACCCAGAATATAAGGTATTTCTCTCTGGGTATTCCTATCCATACCCTCTGTGCAACTGGAGGCCCATGGTGACATGGGCTGGTTGCTAGGCCACCTGCTTGAATTCTAAAAGCCTAGAACCTCTTTGAATTGCTTAGATTGATGGTGACACCCCTCAACTGCATTCCTTGGAAAAGCTGAACAAAATGAGTGAGAACTCTTTACCGTCATTGTCATCGGATCTGAGGTCCAGCACGCTGTCTGTCCCAGGACAGTAAGCAAAAGGGAAAGCTTCCCCTTTTCCATAAATATGCAGGCACCAGCCGGTGGCCAGCAACTCAGACTGTGGCCTTAAGTCCAGTACTGTCTCCACAAAGTGAAGCAATGCTTCATTGGTCAAGTGACCTGTCTGTGATGGTCCAGCATTTAGTCTCACAATCTTGGCCATTGAAGGCAATATCACACACACAGAGCTTGTGTGATTTCTCAGGGACAGAGCTGAGTGATAGCAGAGGGTATTATGTCCCAAGGCAACCTTTGGTACACTTCATGACCTTGTGTACCTTCTGAAAGGTGTTTGTGTGATCTCTCAACACCTCTCAGGTGAAGCTGTCTTGGAGGGATGGCTCGCCTTGCTCGGAAGAAGTTACACCTTATTGCCATGGAAGGCCAGATGTGCTGCTGAGTCTTCCAGGGTGTCTCCTGGGGTGAACTTTGTCCGTGGACGCCAACATACAGTAAGCTTCCCTCTGCCCTGTGTGTATCCTTGGTAGTGGTTGATTCAGCACTGCCTAGGATGATACTTGTCACCTCTTTCCAATGGTATGGGGTGATTGTCTGTGGAGTGCATGGAATCTCCTTGGTTAGGCAGTGGGGCTCTGCACCTGCTGGCTTCTGGCTGCCTTACAGCCCTGGCCAGACTTGCTAGGCTGCCTGCCTATATTTCTAAAAGCCTAGAGACTCTTCAGATGTGCTTGGATCAATGATGACACCCCTCAAATGCATTCCTTGGAAAAGCTGAACAAAATGAGTGAGAACCCTCTACCGTCGTTCTCATCGGATCTGAGGTCCAGCACTGTTTTCAGTGGTGAATGTAGGCAAGAGGGAAAGCTTCCCATTGACCTCATGCATGCACATACCAGCTAGGAGGCCACAAGCACACATTCAGCAGATTTCAAGCCCAGGGCTTTCACATCAAGAGTGAGCAGGTGTCTGGTGCCTGTGAAGCATAGCTCCTTGATTAAATAGCCACACTGAGTACATAGTATATTCCCCCCAATCCTAACCCATAGGAGGAATTATCACACATTCTGTCATCTCTCAGGGCAAGAGCTGATTGACAGCACAGGGCATTAGGCCCTGGGACAACTTTGTTACGCATCATGTTCCTGGGTACTTTTCTAAAGCATTGGTTTGCTCTCTCAACCCCTGTCAGGTGAAGTTGGCGAGAGGTATGGCTTTCTGGGCACAGAGGGAGGAAGACCTTGCTCCCCTCAGAGCACCAGAGGTGCTGGCGAGGCCCACAAGGCGTGTGGACAGGAATACTCCGTGCCCTTGGGTGCACACAAAGGGTAAGCAGCCCTCTTGCCCAGGTGCAGCTATGGGTCCCGGTAGGTAACAGACCTGCCTAGCAGGTGGTTACTCAGCCCTTCTGATTGGCATGTGGGGCTTGACTCCCGGAGTAGGACTTTATCAGTCTGAATGATGGTCTCCACTTCTACTGAATCTAGAGGCCTATGGGGATATGACTAGTCTGCCCAGAACTCACCTTGAATTCTAAAAGTGTTGTGTAGCCTCTTTGAATGTGCTTGGATCGATGATGACACCCCTCAAATGCATTCCTTGGAAAAGCTGAACAAAATGAGTGAGAACCCTCTACCGTCGTTCTCATCGGATCTGAGGTCCAGCACTGTTTTCAGTGGTGAATGTAGCGAGAGGGAAAGCTTCCCATTGACCTCACGCATGCAAATACCAGCTAGGAGGCCACAAGCACACATTCAGCAGATTTCAAGCCCAGGGCTTTCACGTCAAGAGTGAGCAGGTGCCTGTGAAGCATAGATCCTTGGTTAATAGCCACACTAAGTTACACAGTATATTCCCCCCTATCCTAACTGTAGGAGGAATTATCAAACATTCTGTCATCTCTCAGGGCAAGAGCTGATTGACAGCACAGGGCATTAGGCCCTGGGACTACTTTGTTATGCATCATGTTCCTGGGTACCTTTCTAAAATATTGATTTGCTTTCTCAACACTTGTCAGGTGCAGTTGGCGAGAGGGATGGCTCTCTGGGCACAGAGGGAGGAAGACATTGCTCCCCTCAGAACACAGGAGGTGCTGGCGAGGCCCACAAGGCTTGTGGATGGGAATACTCCGTGCCCTTGGGTGCACACAAAGGGTAAGCAGCCCTCTTGCCCGGGTGTAGCTATGGGTCCCGGTAGGTAACAGACCTGCCTAGCAGTGGTTACTCAGCCCTTCCGATTGGCATGTGGGGCTTGACTCCCGGAGTAGGACTTCCTCAGTCTGAATGATGGTCTCCACTTCTGCTGGGTCCAGAGGCCTATGTGGATATGACTGGTCTGCCCAGAACCCACCTTGAATTCTAAAAGTGTTGTGTAGCCTCTTTGAATGTGCTTGGATCGATGATGACACCCCTCAAATGCATTCCTTGGAAAAGCTGAACAAAATGAGTGAGAACCCTCTACCGTCGTTCTCATCGGATCTGAGGTCCAGCACTGTTTTCAGTGGTGAATGTAGCGAGAGGGAAAGCTTCCCATTGACCTCATGCATGCACATACCAGCTAGGAGGCCACAAGCATACATTCAGCAGATTTCAAGCCCAGGGCTTTCACGTCAAGAGTGAGCAGGTGCCTGTGAAGCATAGCTCCTTGGGTAAATAGCCACACTGAGTTACACAATATATTCCCCCCTATCCTAACCGTAGGAGGAATTATCACACATTCTGTCATCTCTCAGGGCAAGAGCTGATTGACAGCACAGGGCATTAAGCCCTGGGACTACTTTGGTACACATCATGTTCCTGGGTACCTTTCTAAAGCATTGGTTTGCGCTCTCAACACCTGTCAGGTGCAGTTGGTGAGAGGGATGGCTCTCTGGGCACAGAGGAAGCAAGACCTTGCTCCCCTCAGAGCACCAGAGGTGCTGGCGAGGCCCACAAGGCATGTGGACAGGAATACTCCGTGCCCTTGGGTGCACACAAAAGGTAAGCAGCCCTCTTGCCTGATGCAGCTAAGGGTCCTGGCAGGCAACAGACCTGCCTGGCAGGTGATTACTGAGCCCTTCCCAATGGCATGTGGGGCTTGACTCCCGGAGTAGGACTTTCTCAGTCTGAATGATGGTCTCCACTTCTACTGGGTCTAGAGGCCTATGGGGATATAACTAGTCTGCCCAGAACCCACCTTGAATTCTAAAAGTGTTGTGCAGCCTCTTTGAATGTGCTTGGATCGATGATGACACCCCTTAAATGCATTCCTTGGAAAAGCTGAACAAAATGAGTGAGAACCCTCTACCGTCGTTCTCATCGGATCTGAGGTCCAGCACTCTGTCTGACCCAGGGTGGTAATAGAGAAGGAGAGCTTCCCTTGCCCACAAACAGGCAGCCATCAGCCAGGGGCCGGGAACTCATCACTGTGGCCTTAAGTCCTGTGAGTTCACCCCAACACTGAGCGTTTGCCCGTGAAGCAGACCTTCATTGGTTGGATGGTACTTTGTGTGCTCCTACTTTTGGTGTGGCATTCTTGGCCCTGGAAGGCACTGTCACACACTCCTTCGGTCATATTGCAGGGATAGAGCTGAATGAATGCAGAAAGCAGTTTTCGCTGGCCTAAACTTTGGTACACATCACGGTCCTGAGTACCTTCTGAAGTGTGTGTGTTTTCTCTCAACACCTCTCAGGTTCAGTTGATGTGAGTGGGATAGCTCACCATGCTGAGAGTGGGGAAAACCTTACTGCCATGGAAGACGGGAGGTGCTGCAGAGCGTGGAGGACTGACACTGGGGTGCACCTTGTCTTTACACTGACATAGGTAAGCTACCCTCTGCCCTGGGAGCAAACTCGGAATGGGTGGTCCCAGAGCACTCTGGAAGGAGGCTCATCTGTCCCTTCCCCAGTGTCAATGGGATTGTCTCTGAGTGGATGGACTCTCCCTCTGGCTGGGGGCTGGGCTAAGCACGTGCTGGCTTCTGCATGTCTTAGGTCCTGGGCTACTGGCTGTGGCGCCTGCCTGGATTTCAAAAGCCTGGAACCTTCTTTAATGTGCTTGGATCGATGATGACACCCCTCAAATGCATTCCTTGGAAAAGCTGAACAAAATGAGTGAGAACTCTCTACCGTCGTTCTCATCGAATCTGAGGTCCAGCACAGTGTTTGAGTCGAGATGTTAGTAGAGAGGGAGAGCTTCCCCCATGCCATACACTTGCACATATCAGCCAGGAGGCCAATCACTCATATTCCAGGTTACAAGCCAGGTTTTATACCTCAAGTTCAAGCTGGTGCCTGTGAATCAATTTCCTTGGTCTAGTCGCTCCACCTGGTGGCATGTTGAGCAGTCCCCACAGAACTAGTTCAAGGAGATACTATCATCAAAGTAATCTGTCCTACTTCAGGGAGAGAGCAGACTGATAGCAGAGGGCATTAGGCCCTGGGGCAACCTTTTGTACTCATCATGTTTCTTGGTACCTTTCTGAGGCATGGGTGTGATCTTTCAACACCTCTTAGGTGCGATTTGCGAAAGAGAGGACACTGTCCTCTCTCACAAGGAAGAACACATTGCTACCCTCAGATCACCGGATGTGCTGTTGAATCCTGCAAGGGTGTGGATGGCGTGTACTGTACCCATGGATACTCACAAAGGGTAAGCTGCCTCTGCCATGAGTACTACCTTGAGTGCTGGTAGGTGCCAAACCTGCCTCGCAGGTGGTTATTCCACCTTTTTCCCAGTGTCATGTGGGGCTTGAATCCAAGAGTGGGGGGACTTTTTCTAAGTCTGGCCCATGGTCTCCACACAATCGGGGCTTCTGAAGGTCTGTGTTCATCTGGGCTTGTCTGTCCAGCCACCACCTTAAATTCAAAAAGTCTACAGCTTCCTCAAATGTGTTTGGATCGATGATGACACCCCTCAAATGCATTCCTTGGAAAAGCTGAACAAAATGAGTGAGAACCCTCTACCGTCGTTCTCATCGGATCTGAGGTCCAGCACAGTGTCCAACACAATATAGTAGGTGAAAGGGACAGTTTCCCCTTGACCATAAATAGGCTGCAAACAGCGTGGAACCAGCAACTCAAAAACTGTGGCCATAAGTCCAGTGATTTCACCAAACAATAAGCATATGTGTGTGTGACAGACCTCATTAGTTGAGTGTCGCTCTGTGGTGGTCAAGAATTTGGTCTCACATTCTTGGTTCTTCAAGGGACAATCACATACATCTTCACTCATATCTCAGGGACATAGCTAGTGAGAACAGAGGGCATATGGCCCTGAAGCAACCAATATACAAATCATGATCTTGTGTACATTCTGAAGTGTGTGTGATCTCTCCACACCTCTCAGGTGTAGTTGGCTTGGAGGATGGCTTGCCATGTGCAGAGTGTGGAAAACCTTTGTATTGTGGAAGACCAGAGGTGCTGCTGAGTCTTCGAAGAGTGTCTCTTGGCATGAACCTTGTCCATAAACACAGTAAGCTACCCTCCGCTCCTGTGTATCTGGGTGCATCTGTGGCAGTGGTGGTCCCAGAACTGCCTAGAAGGAGGCTCATTTATTCCTCCAAAGTGCCATGGCTGCTGTGTCCCAGAGTGGATGGTGTTCCCTTTGGCTGTGTGGCTCCCCACCTGCCTTATGTTGGAGGTCTAGAGTCTGGGTGTGGCCTGTTAGGCCATTCCCCTGGATTTCTCAAAGCCTGCAGCCTCCTCAAATGTGCTTGGATCGATGATGACACCCCTCATATGCATTCCTTGGAAAAGCTGAACAAAATGAGTGAGAACCCTCTACCGTCGTTCTCATCGAATCTGAGGTCCAGTACAGTGTTTAGTCAGGATGGTAGGTGAGAGGGAGAGCTTCCCCCAAGCCACACATGTGCACATACAAGTCTGGGGCTCATAACTCACATGCTGTGGTCTTCAAGCCAGGGATTTTACCTCAAGAGTGAACATGTGCCTATGAAGCATAGCTCCTTGGTCAAGTGGCCACACTCTGGTACACAGCGTGTTAATTCCATGCTAACCATAGGAGGCTCTATCACACAGGCTTTCTGTGATCCATCAGGGATAGAGCTGAGTGATAGCAGAGGATATAGTCTCTAGGCAACCTTTGCTCTACATCATGTTCCTGGGTAACTTTCTGAAGCATGGGTGTGCTTTCTCAAAACCTCTCAGGTGCAGTTTTGCAGAAATTGGAAGCTTGCAATTCACACATGAAGGAAGCTCTTGATCATCTAGATCACAGGAGGTGCTAACAAAACTCTCGAGGTGTGAGGACTGGATGCCCTGTGCCATTGGATGTCCACGAAGTGTAAGCTGTCCACTACCTTTTGTGCTGCTATGGGAGCTAGAAGGTAGCAGTCCTGCCTTAGAGGTTCTTATTCTACCTTTTGACAGTGGCATGCAGGGCTTGACTCCCAGAGTAGAAGGAATTTCTCTCTGTGGACATTTGTGTCCACACCCTCATTGCTCTTGGGGGCCTGCTGTGACCTGGATTGGTCACTAGGCTGCCTGACTTTAATCTTAAAGTCTGCAGCCCCTTCGAATGTGCTTGCATCGATGATGACACCCCTCAAATGCATTCCTTGGAAAAGTTGAACAAAATGAGTGAGAACTCTCTACCGTCGTTCTCATCGAATCTGCGATCCAGCATGCTGACTGACCTAGGGTGGTAGGTGACAGGGAGAGCATAGCATTGGCCATAAATGTGCAGCCACCTATCAAGGGCCAGCATCTCAGACTGTGGCCTTTAGTCCAGTGCTTTCTCTGAAGGTGAGCATAAGCCCATGAAGCAGAGATTCATTGGGCAATTGACCTCTGTGTAATGGTCCAGTTTTTGGTCTCAAAATCTTGGCCCATAAAGGCAGTATTAAAAATACATCTTTTGTCATTTCTCAGGGACAGAGCTGAGTGATAGTAGTGGAATTAGGACCCATGGCAACCTTTGGGACACATCATAATCTTGTGTACCATCTGACATTTGTGTGTGATCTCTCAACATCTCTCAGGTGCAGTTGGCTTGGAGGAATGGCTCGTCCTGCTCAGAAGGAGTTACACCTTACTGCCATGGAAGACTGGAGGTGCTGCTGAGTCTTCGGGAGTGTCTCTTGGAGTGAACTTTGCCTGTGGATGCCGACATATGGTAAGCTACCCTCTGCTCCTGGAGCAAACTTAGCAGTGAATGTCCCAGAACTGCCCTAGAGGAGGCTTGTCTGCCCATTGTTTGGTGTCATGGGATATTTCTGATATCTCTGGAATGGGTGGACTCTCCCTCTGGCTGGGCGGCTGGGCTCCACACCTGCAGGCTGATGGAGGTCTTGCAGTCTTGGGCTGACTGGCTTGGCCAGTCACCAGGATATCTAGTAGCTTGCAGTCCCTTTGAATGTGCTTGGATCGATGATGACAGCCTTCAAATGCATTCCTTGGAAAGCTGAACAAAATGAGTGAGAACTCTCTACCGTCATTCTCATCGAATCTGAGGTCCAGCACAGTGTTTGACTCAGGATGGTAGGCAAGAGGGAGAGCTTCCTGCAAGCCACACACTTGCACATACCAGCAAGGAGGCTCATAACTCACATGCTATGGGCTTCATACCAGGGATTTCACCTCAAGAATGACCAGGTGCCTGTGAGCATAGCACTTTGGTTATGTGGGGTAGCCCTGGTGGTGAGTTTTGTCACCACAGTCTTATGGCATTATGTCAATGAAAGGCCTATGGTCATACCTCAGGGATGATGCTGATTGATAATAGGGCATTAGGTCCCGTGCAACCTTTGGTATACATCGTGGTCCTCAGTACCTTTCTGAAGTGTGGGGATGCTCTCTCAATCTCTCTCAGGTGCAGATGGGAGGAGTGTGTATGCTTGCTGTGGGAAAAGGGTGGAAGACCATGCTCCCCTCAGATCACCAGAGGTGCTGCTGGTAAGTCCCAAGAGGCATGTGGAGAGGAGTTTGCAGTCCTGTGTATACTCACAAAGGGTAAGCTGCCATCTTGCCCAATTGCTACTTTGGGTGATGGCAAATATCAGAATTGCTATGGAGGTGGTTCTCTACCCTTCCACAGTGGCAGTGAGTCTTAACTCCCAGAGTGGAATGACTTTCTCTCTGACTGGTCTATGGTATCTGCACCCTCTGGGTTGCAGGATGAATGTGGCAACCTGGGCTGACCTTTGCAGCTACCCATCTTGCCTTCTGGAAGTCAGCATTCACCTTGAATGTGCTTGGATCGATGATGACACCCCTCAAATGCATTCCTTGGAAAAGCTGAACAAAATGAGTGAGAACCCTCTACCGTCGTTCTCATCGGATCTGAGGTCCAGCACGGTGTCTGACCCAGGGTGGTTGGTGACAGGGAGAGCTTCCCCAAGACCACAAACTTGCAACCACCAGAAGGGGCAGTAACTCAGAGTTTGCAACCTTAAGTCCAGTGTTTTTGCCCCAACAGTGAGCGGGTGCCCATGAATTAGACCTTCATTGGTCAAGTGGCTGTTTTGAAGTGCTACAGCTTTTGGTATCTGCAATCTTGGCCATCAAAGGCATTATCACACACACCTTCAGTCATACCTCAGGAACAGGTTTGAGTGATAGCAGAGGGCATTTTCCCAGGGGCAACCTTTGGTACTCATCATGGTCCTGGACACCTATTGAAGTTTGTGTGTGATCTCTTAACACCTCTCAGGTGCAGTTGGGAGAAGGAAGGCTCTCAGTGTGCAGAAAGAGGAAGAGCTTAGTGCTGTGCAAGTCCAGAGCTGCTCCTGAACCCTCAAGAAGTGTCGCTGGGGTTGCAAAATTTCTGCGGATGCCCATATACCGTAAGTTACCTCACCCACTGCACTCTCGGCAGTAGTGATAGCAGAATTGCATGACAGGAGGCTCATCCACGCCTTCCCCATGTCACTTAGGGATTGCCTCTGAGTAATGGACTCTCCCTCAGGCTGGGCGGCTGGGCTCTGCACCTGCCGGCTGCTAGAGGCCTTAGGGTCCTGGTCTGCCTGGCTGGGCCCCCCAACTGGATTCTTAAAGCCTGCAGCCTCCTCGAATGTGCTTGGATCGATGATGACACCCCTCAAATGCATTCCTTGGAAAAGCTGAACAAAATGAGTGAGAACCCTCTACCGTCGTTCTCATCGGATCTGAGGTCCAGCACAGTGTTTGATTTGAGATGGTAGATGAGAGGGAGAGCTTCCCCAAACCACACACTTGCCCATACCAGCCAGGAGGCCAATATCTCGATTTCTGCATGCCTAAGCCAAGGCTTTTACCTCAAGAGTGAGCGGGTGCCTGTGAAGCATAGCTCCTTGGTCAGGTGGGCCCCTGTGGTATCAAAGTTAGTGGGTCCCACAGTCCTATCCTTGGAGACACTATCGCAGAGACCTTCTGTCAACCCTCAGGGAGAGACCTGATCGATAGCGTAAGGCATTAGGCCACAGGACCTCCTTTGGTACACCTCATGTTCCTGGGTAACTTCCTAACGTGCGGGTGTTCTCTCTCAACACCTCAGGTGCAGTTGGCGTAGAGCATGGATACTTGCTTTGTAAACCAGGAGGAAGACCTTGTTCTCCATAGATCACCAGAGGTGCATGCAAGTCGTGCCAGGCTTGTGGTTGGCAGTGCAAAGTACCCCTGGCTGCCCACAAAGGTAAGCATCCCCCTGCCACCAGTGATGCTTTGGCTACTTGCAGGTCCAAAGCTGCCTTTGAGGTGGTTCTTCCAAAGTTGCCCAGTATTGTGCAGGGCTTGACTGGAAGAGTGGAAGGAATTTCTCTCAGTTTGGGCGATGGTCTCCGCATTCTTGGTAGCTGGAGGCCTCTTTTGACGTTGGTTGGAATGTGGGGCTGCCCACCTAGAATTCTGAAAGTGTAAAACCCAATTCAGCGGTGCTTGGATCGATGATGACACCCCTCAAATGCATTCCTTGGAAAAGCTGAACAAAATGAGTGAGAACCCTCTACCGTCGTTCTCATCGGATCTGAGGTCCAGCACAGTGTTTGAGTTGAGATGGTAGATGAGAGGGAGAGCTTCCCCAAACCACACACTTGCCCATACCAGCCAGGAGGCCAATATCTCGATTTCTGCATGCCTAAGCCAAGGCTTTTACCTCAAGAGTGAGCGGGTGCCTGTGAAGCATAGCTCCTTGGTCAGGTGGGCCCCTGTGGTATCAAAGTTAGTGGGTCCCACAGTCCTATCCTTGGAGACACTATCGCAGAGACCTTCTGTCAACCCTCAGGGAGAGACCTGATCGATAGCGTAAGGCATTAGGCCACAGGACCTCCTTTGGTACACCTCATGTTCCTGGGTAACTTCCTAACGTGCGGGTGTTCTCTCTCAACACCTCAGGTGCAGTTGGCGTAGAGCATGGATACTTGCTTTGTAAACCAGGAGGAAGACCTTGTTCTCCATAGATCACCAGAGGTGCATGCAAGTAGTGCCAGGCTTGTGGTTGGCAGTGCAAAGTACCCCTGGCTGCCCACAAAGGTAAGCATCCCCCTGCCACCAGTGATGCTTCGGCTACTTGCAGGTCCAAAGCTGCCTTTGAGGTGGTTCTTCCACACTTGCCCAGTATTGTGCAGGCCTTGATTGGAAGAGTGGAAGGAATTTCTCTCAGTTTGGGCGATGGTCTCCGCATTCTTGGAAGCTGGAGGCCTCTTTTGATGTGGGTTGGAATGTGGGGCTGCCCACCTAGAATTCTGAAAGTGTAAAACCCAATTCAGCGGTGCTTGGATCGATGATGACACCCCTCAAATGCATTCCTTGGAAAAGCTGAACAAAATGAGTGAGAACCCTCTACCGTCGTTCTCATCGGATCTGAGGTCCAGCCCGCTGTCTGACCGAGGATGGTAGGTGAAGGGAAAGTTTCGCCTTGACCATAGATGTGGTGACTCTGCCAGGGGCCGGCTACTCAGAGACTGCAGCCTTAAGTCCAGTGCTCTCACCCAAAATGGGCATATGCCTTTCTGCAGGATCCAGTGCTTTAGTCTCACAATCTTGGCCCTGGAATGCACTGTCACACACACCTTCACTCATATCTCAGGGGCAGGATGAGTGATAGCTCAGGGACATAATACCAGAACAACCAATGCACACATATGGTGCTGGGTACTATCTAATGTGTCTGTGTGATCTCTCCACACCTCTCAGGTAAAGTGGCTTGGATGATGGTTCACCTTTTGCAGAGGGCGGAAGACCTTACTATAGTGGATGACCAGAGGTGCTGCTGAGTCTTCAAGGAGTGTCTCTTGGCATGAACCTTGTAAATAAATACGGTAGGCTACCCTCCGCTCCGGGTGCATCTGTACCGGTGGTGGTCCCAGATTGGCCTAGGAAGAGGCCCTTTAACCCCTCCAGTGTCAGGTGGTGCCATGTCCCAGAGTGGATGGTGCTCCCTTTGGCTATGTGGCTAACTCCCCACGTGTGTTATGTTGGAGACCTTGGGATATGGGTCTGGCTCTCTAGGTCACTGACTGGATTTCTCAAAGCCTGCAGCCTCCTCAAATGTGCTTGGATCGATGATGACACCCCGCAAATGCATTCCTTGGAAAAGCTGAACAAAATGAGTGAGAACCCTCCACCGTCGTTCTCATCGGATTTGAGGTCCAGCACGGTGTCCATTCCAGGGTGGTAGGCGAAGGGAAAGTTTCCCCTTGACCACAGATGTAATGACACCAGCCAGGGCCCAGCTACTCTCAAAATGTGCCCTTAAATCCAGTACTCTCACCCAAGGTGAGCATAGACCCTTGAATCAGATCCTCACAGCTGAGTGACCTTTTCTGTGGTGTCCAACGTTTTAGTCTCACAGTCTTGGCCTGGGAATGCACTGTCACACACACTTCCACTCATATCTCAAGGGTAGGCTGAGTGATAGCTGAGGGACATATTCCCAGGGCAACCAATGCATACATATGGTCCTGGGTACTATCTAAAATGTGTGATGTCTCCACACCTGTCAGGTGAAGTGGCTTGGAAGATGGCTCGCCTTGAGCAGAGGGTGGAAGACTGAATGTGCTGCTGAGTGTTCGAGGAGTGTCTGTTGGTGTGAACCTTGTACATAAATATGGTAAGCTACCCTCTGCTCCAGGTGCATCTGTAGCAGTGGTGGTCCCAGATTGGCCTTGGAGGAGGCCCGTTCACCCCTCCACAGTGTCCCAGAGTGGATGGTGCTCCTTCTGGCTGTGTGGCTGACTCCCCACCTGTGTTATGTTGGAGGCCTAGGAATCTGGGTCTCATCTGCTTAGATGCTTGCCTGGATTTCTCAAAGCCTGCAGCCTCCTCAAATATGCTTGGATCGGTGATGACACCCCTCAAATGTAGTCCTTGGAAAAGCTGAACAAAATGAATGAGAACCCTCTATCGTTGTTCTCATCGACTCTGAACTCCAGCACACTGTCTGACATATGGTGGTAGGTGACAGGGAGAGCTTCCCCTTGGCCACAAACATCAGCCTCCAGCCAGGGGCAGCTACTCAGAGTCTGCAACCGTAGGCAGGTGATTTCACCCCAACAGTGAGCAGGTGTCTATGAAACAGAGTTCCATTGGTCAAGTGGCTGCACTGTGGTGCCCAATATTTGGTCTCCACAATGTTTGCCCTGGGTGGCACAGTCACACACTCCTTTATTCATATCTCAGGGACAGAGCTGAGTGGTAGCAGAGGGCATTAAGACCTGTGGCAACCTTTGGTACACATCACCGTCCTGTGTACCTTCTGAAGTGTGTGTGTGATCTCACATTGCCTCTCAGGTGTGGTTGGTGTGAGAGGGAAAGCTTGTCGTGTGCTGAAGGAGGAAGATCTTACTGCCATGGAAGGCCAGAGGTCCTTCTGTCTTCAAGGAGTGTCTCGGGGTGAACCTAGTCTGGAGATGATGACATATGGTAAGCTACCCTCCAACCCTGGTACAAACTGTACTAGTGGTCCCAGAACTGCCTTGAAGAGGCTCGTTTGCCCCTTCCACAGTTCCATGCGGTACTGTCCTGAGAGTCGAGGGGCTCTCCCTCTAGCTGGGTGTTTGGGCTCTACACCTACAGATGCTGGAGGCCTTGGGGTCCTCTACTGGCCAGGAAGACTACCCGCCTACATTTCTCAAAGCCTGAAGTCTCTTCTAATATACTTGGGTTGAAGATAACACCTCTCCTATGCATCCCTTGGGAAAGCTGAAAAACATGAGTGAAAACTCTACCATCATTTTCCTCGAATCTTCACAGAGGTCCAGTACTGTGTTGGAGTCAGGACAGTAGGCGAGAGGAAGAGCTAACTCTTGACCATACACACCTGCACATCCTGGCTAGAGACCAGTACCTCACATCATGTGAGCTCTAAGCCAGGGCTTTCACCTCAAGTGTGAGAGGGGCCTGTGAAGCATAGCTCCTTGGTCAACGGGTGGTATGTTGTGGCGCAGTGTGTTCCCCCCAATCCTAACCCTAGAAGGCATTATCACACAGGCTTTCTGTCAACCTCAGGGAAAAGCCTAATTGATAGCTGAGGGTATTAGGTCCAGGGAAACCTTTGGTACCCGTCATGTTCCTGGGTACCTTTCTGAAGTGTGTGTGTGCTCTCTTTACATCTCTCAGGTCCAGTTGGCAAGCAGATGCTTGCTTTGCACACAAGGAGGAAGACCTTGCTCACCCAGATCACCAGACGTTATGGCAAAACCCTCAAGGTGTGATGACAGCATTACGCTGTGCCCTTGGATGACCACAAAGGGTAAGCTGCCCTCTGCCCAGAGTGTAGCTATGGGAGCAGAAAGGTATCCGACCCTTGTTAGAGGATGTTTTCCACCAAATGCTAGTGGAATGTGGGGCTTGACTCCCAGAGTAGAAGGAATTTCTTTCTTTCTGGGCAATGATCTCCCCACACTCTGAGCTGCTGGAGGGCTGTGCAACCTGGACTGTCCCAAAGGCTGCTTGTCTTGATTGGTAAAAATCTGCAGCCTCTTGATCTGTGCTCGGATCGATGATGACACCCCTCAAATGCATTCCTTGGAAAAGCTGAACAAAATGAGTGAGAACCCTCTACCGTCGTTCTCATCGGATCTGAGGTCCAGCACAGTGTCTGACCCAGGGCAATAGGCAGCAGGGAGAGCTTCCCCTTGATCACAAATGTGCAGGCACCAGCCAGTGACTAGCAACTCAGAGACCACAGCCTTAAGTCTAGTGCTTTCTCACCAAAAGTGAGCATATGCCTGGGAACCAGAGCTTCATTGGTTGAGTGGCCTCTCTGTGATGGTCCAGCATTGGTCTCACGATCTTGGCAATGAAGACAGTGTCACACACACATACCTTTGGTCATTTCTCAGGGACAGAGCTGAGAGATAGTAGAGATATTAGCACTTGTGGTTCATGGTTCTGGGCACCTTCTGATGTGTGTGTATGTGATCTCTTAAAACCTTTCAGGTGTGCTTGGTTGAGAGGGATGGCTCGCCATGCCCAGAGAAGAAGAACTTACTGCTGTGGAAGACTGGGGGTGCTGCTGAGTGTTTTAGGCATTTCAATAGGGTGCACCTTGTCCATGGATGCAAAAATACGGTGAGCTGCCCTCTGCCCTGGTTGCAGCCTAGGCACTGGTGGTCCCAGAACTGCATGGGTGGATGCTCATCCATCCCTCTCCGTTTTCTTTGGGTGACTTCTCCCAGAGTGGATGGACCATCCCCCTGGCTGGTTAGATGGCTCCCACCCACAGGATGCTGGAAGCCTAGGAGTCCTGTCTGGCTAGGCCACCTTCTGACTTCTACAAGCCTACAGCCTCCTCAAATGTGCTCGGATTGATGATGCTATCCCTCAAATGCATTCCTTGGAAAAGCTGAACAAAATGAGTGAGAACTCACTACCATCGTTCTCATTGAATCTGAGGTGTTTAAGTGGGGACAGTAGGTGAGAGGGAGACATTCCCCTTGTCCACACACATGCAAACCCAGTCAGGAGGCCAATCATTCACATTCTGCAGGTTTGAAGAGGGTGCTAGTTCCTTGGTTAAGTGGGCACTCTATGTTTGTGCTGTGAGTGGCCCCCAAATTCCTATTCCTAGGAGGCACTATCACAGAGATCTTCTGTAATATGCAAGGAAGTGCTGAGCAACAGCAGAGGGCATTAGGCCCTGGGGAAATATTTGGTACAGTCATGTTCCCAGTACCTTTCTGAAACATGGGTGTGTTCTTTAAACAGTTTTCAGGTGCAGTGGGCAAGGAGAGTGAATGCTTGTCCTTGTGCACTAGGAGAAAGATCTCGCTCTTTTCAGATACTGGAAGTACTGGAGAGCCCAGGATGGCATATGGATAGGAGTGTGCAGTACCTGTGGATACTCACAAAGGGTAAGCTGGCATCTTGCCCAAGTGCAGCTTTGGGTTTGGCACATAACTGACCTGCTGCAAAGGTGGTGATTCCACCAGTTGACTCCAGTTTGGAAGGACTTTCACTCTGGGCAATGGTATCCATACCCTCGAGCAGCTGGAGGCCTGCAGCATTCTGGGCTGGCTTGCTGGGTTGCACATCTTGAATTGTAAAAGTCTACACTTCTCAACTGTGCTCGGATCGATGATGACACCCCTCAAATGCATTCCTTGGAAAAGCTGAACAAAATGAGTGAGAACCCTCTACCGTCGTTCTCATCGGATCTGAGGTCCAGCACGGTGTCTGACCCAGGGTGGTAGGTGACAGGGAGAGCTTCCCAAGACCATAAACTTGCAGCCACCAGAAGGGGCAGTAACTCAGAGTTTGCAACCTTAAGTCCAGTGTTTTTGCCCCAACAGTGAGCGGGTGCCCATGAATTAGACCTTCATTGGTCAAGTGGCTGTTTTGAAGTGCTACAGCTTTTGGTATCTGCAATCTTGGCCGTCAAAGGCATTATCACACACACCTTCAGTCATACCTCAGGGACAGGAGTGAGTGATAGCAGAGGGCATTTTCCCAGGGGCAACCTTTGGTACTCATCATGGTCCTGGACACCTATTGAAGTTTGTGTGTGATCTCTTAACACCTCTCAGGTGCAGTTGGGAGAAGGAAGGCTCTCAGTGTGCAGAAAGAGGAAGAGCTTAGTGCTGTGCAAGTCCAGAGCTGCTCCTGAACCCTCAAGAAGTGTCGCTGGGGTTGCAAAATTTCTGCGGATGCCCATATACCGTAAGTTACCTCACCCACTGCACTCTCGGCAGTAGTGATAGCAGAATTGCATGACAGGAGGCTCATCCACGCCTTCCCCATGTCACTTAGGGATTGTCTCTGAGTGATGGACTCTCCCTCAGGCTGGGCGGCTGGGCTCTGCACCTGCCGGCTGCTAGAGGCCTTAGGGTCCTGGTCTGCCTGGCTGGGCCCCCCAACTGGATTCTTAAAACCTGCAGCCTCCTCGAATGTGCTTGGATCGATGATGACACCCCTCAAATGCATTCCTTGGAAAAGCTGAACAAAATGAGTGAGAACCCTCTACCGTCGTTCTCATCGGATCTGAGGTCCAGCACAGTGTTTGAGTTGAGATGGTAGACGGGAGGGAGAGCTTCCCCAAACCACACACTTGCCCATACCAGCCAGGAGGCCAATATCTCGATTTCTGCATGCCTAAGCCAAGGCTTTTACCTCAAGAGTGAGCGGGTGCCTGTGAAGCATAGCTCCTTGGTCAGGTGGGCCCCTGTGGTATCAAAGTTAGTGGGTCCCACAGTCCTATCCTTGGAGACACTATCGCAGAGACCTTCTGTCAACCCTCAGGGAGAGACCCGATCGATAGCGTAAGGCATTAGGCCACAGGACCTCCTTTGGTACACCTCATGTTCCTGGGTAACTTCCTAACGTGCGGGTGTTCTCTCTCAACACCTCAGGTGCAGTTGGCGTAGAGCATGGATACTTGCTTTGTAAACCAGGAGGAAGACCTTGTTCTCCTCAGATCACCAGAGGTGCACGCAAGTCGTGCCAGGCTTGTGGTTGGCAGTGCAAAGTACCCCTGGCTGCCCACAAAGGTAAGCATCCCCCTGCCACCAGTGATTCTTTGGCTACTTGCAGGTCCAAAGCTGCCTTTGAGGTGGTTCTTCCATACTTGCCCAGTAGTGTGCAGGGCTTGATTGGAAGAGTGGAAGGAATTTCTCTCAGTTTGGGCGATGGTCTCTGCATTCTTGGAAGCTGGAGGCCTCTTTTGACGTGGGTTGGAATGTGGGGCTGCCCACCTAGAATTCTGAAAGTGTAAAACCCAATTCAGCGGTGCTTGGATCGATGATGACACCCCTCAAATGCATTCCTTGGAAAAGCTGAACAAAATGAGTGAGAACTCTCTACCGTCGTTCTCATCGGATCTGAGGTCCAGCCCGCTGTCTGACCGAGGATGGTAGGTGAAGGGAAAGTTTCGCCTTGACCATAGATGTGGTGACTCTGCCAGGGGCCGGCTACTCAGAGACTGCAGCCTTAAGTCCAGTGCTCTCACCCAAAATGGGCATATGCCTTTCTGCAGGATCCAGTGCTTTAGTCTCACAATCTTGGCCCTGGAATGCACTGTCACACACACCTTCACTCATATCTCAGGGGCAGGATGAGTGATAGCTCAGGGACATAATACCAGAACAACCAATGCACACATATGGTGCTGGGTACTATCTAATATGTGTATGTGATCTTTCCACACCTCTCAGGTGAAGTGGCTTGGAGGATGGCTCATTTACCTTGTGCAGAGGGTGGAAGACTGGAGATGCTGCTGAGTCTTCAAGGAGTGTTTCTTGGCATGAATCTTGTACATAAATAGGGTAAGCTACCCTCCGCTCCGGGTGCATCTGTGGCAATAATGGTCCCAGAACTGCCTACGAGGATGCTCATTTATCCCTCCACAGTGCCATGGGGTACTGTGTCCCAGAGTGGATGTGCTCCTTCTGGCCGTAGGACTTGACCCACCACCTGTGTTATACTGGAGACCTTGGGATCTGGGTCTGGCCCACTAGGTCACGGCCTGGATTTCTCAAAGCCTGCAGCCTCCTCAAATGTGCTTGGATCGATGATGACACCCCTCACATGCATTCCTTGGAAAGCTGAACAAAATGAGTGAGAACCCTCTACCGTCGTTCTCATCGGATCTGAGGTCCAGCACGGTGTCCATTCTAGGATGGAAGGTGAAGGGAAAGTTTCCCCTTGACCACAGATGTGCTGACTCCAGCCAGGGCCCAGCTACTCTCAAAATGTACCCTTTAATCCAGTACTCTCACCCAGAGAGCATAGACCCTTGAATCAGAGCCTTACAGCCAAGTGGCCTCTCTGTGGCGTCCAACGTTTTACTCTCACAATCTTGGCCCAGGAAAAATGCACTGTCACAATATCTTAACTCACATCTCAGGGGCAGGATGAGTGATAGCTCAGGGACATATTCCCGGGGCAACCAATGCACACATGTGGTCCTGAGTACTATCTAAAGTGTGTGTGTGATCTCTACACACCTCTCAGGTGAATTGGCTTAGAGGACAGCTCGCCTTGTGCAGAGGGTGGAAGACTTTACTATTGTGGAAGACCAGAGGTGCTGCTGAGTCTTCAAGGAGTGTCTCTTGGCGTGAACCTTGTACTTAAATATGGTAAGTTACCCTCCGCTAAAGGTGCATCTGTGGCAGTGGTGGTCCCAAATCTGCCTAGGAGGCCCATTCACCCCTCCACAGTGCTGTGGGGTGCTGTGTCCCAGAGTGTCTGGTGCTCCCTCAGTCTGTGTGGCTGACTTCCCACCTGTGTTATTTTGGAGGCCTAGGAGTCGGAGTCTGGCCTGGTTAGATGCTCGCCTGGATTTCTCAAAGCCTGTAGCCTCCTAAAATGTGTTCAGATCCTCAAATGCATTCCTTGGAGAAGCTGAACAAAATGAGTGAGAACCTTCTACCGTTGTTCTCATCGGATCTGAGGTCCAGCGCACTGTCTGACATAGGGTGGTAGTCAACAGGGAGAGCATAGCCCTGATCATCAAATTCAGCCAACAGCAGGGGCAACAACTCAGAGGCTATGATCTTAAGTCCAGTGCTTTCACCACAGCACAGAGCTGATGCCCATGAGGCAGAGCTTCATTGGTCTACTGGCTGCTCTGTGGTGGTCCTGCATTTGGTCTCTATCATCTATTTTATTTAAGATTTATTTATTTATGCATACAGAACTGGGGTACAGGCCAGAGTTGTGAGGTAGGTGAGAGGATTCATCAGAGATAATGGGAAGCACAGCTGGCATATCTACTGAAATACACTGCTGAGGGTTGTAGCAGACGATTCAAGAGGTCTGCTACACCATGTGGGTTGCACACTGGCCAGCGGAGATAGCACGTGTGCTGCAAATGGCTGGCAATAGTTTGAGATCACTTTCTTTAACTCGCACCAAGGAGGCCCTGGTCTCTACAGTATTGACCTTTGAGGCACTGTCTCACAAACTCTTCTTCATTCTCAGGGACAGAGCCGAGTTATAGCAGAAGGCATTTAGACCACGGCAAACTTTGGGACACATATTGGTCCTGGGTACCTTTTGAAGTTTGTGTTTGATTTCTCCACACCTCCCAGGTGCAGTTTGAACAGAAGCTGGACTCCTGCCTTGCACACAGAGCAGAAGACTTTGCTCCTGTCAGACCACAGGAGGTGCTGGCCATTCCTGCGAGGCACGTGGATGGGAGTATGAAGTACTGGTAGACGCCCACAAAAGGTAAGCTGCCCTCTGGCCGGAATGCTTCTTTTGGTGCTGGCAGGTACCAGACCTGCCTTGGGTGTGGTTCCTCCACTGTTCCCCAGTACCTTGCAGGACTTACCTCCCAGTAAGGAAGGACATTCGAATTGGCTGCCAATGGTCTGCACCCTCTGGCTGCTGGAGGCCTGTGGTGACCTTGGCTGGCTATTGCACCAGCACCTTGAATTCTGACAGACTATAGCCTCCACGAATGTGCTTGGATCGATGATGACACCCCTCAAATGCATTCCTTGGAAAAGCTGAACAAAATGAGTGAGAACCCTCTACCGTCGTTCTCATCGGATCTGAGGTCCAGCACTTTCTCTGACTCAAGACGTTAGGTGAAGGGAGAGATTCCCACTGACCACAAAGATGCAGCCACCAGCCATGGGCCAGCTACTCAGAGACCAGTTTTAAGTCCATTGCTCTCACCCAAAGTGAGCCTAGGCCCTTGAAGCAGAGCCTCACAGCCGAGTGACCTCTCTGTGGGGTCCAGCATTTTAGTCTCACAGTCTTGGCCCTGCAATGCACTGTCACAATATCTTAACTCACAGCTCAAGGACAGAGTTGAGTGATAGCTCAGGGACATACTCCCGGGGCAACCAATGCACACACATGGTCCTGGGTACTATCTAAAGTGTGTGTGTGATCTCTCCACATCTCTCAGGTGAAGTGGCTTGGAGGATGGCTCACTGTGCACAGAGGACAGAAGACCTTACTAGTGTGGAAGACCGGAGGTGCTGCTGAATCTTCGAGGAGTGTACCTGTTGTGAACCTAGTACATAAATAAGGTAAACTACCCTCCGCTCCGGGTGCAATTGTGGCAGTGTGGTCCCAGAACGGCCTAGGAGGAGGCTCATTTGTCCCTCCACAGTGCCATGGGGTGCTGTGTCCCAGCGTGGATGTTGCTCCCTCTGGTTATGTGGCTTGACCCCCAACCTTTGTTATGTTAGAGGCCTAGTAGTCCGGGTCTGGCCTGCTAGGCTCCCTACCTGGATTTTTCAAAGCCTGCAACCTCCTCAAATGTGCTTGGATCGATGATGACACCCCTCAAATGCATTCCTTGGAAAAGCTGAACAAAATGAGTGAGAACCCTCTACCGTCGTTCTCATCGGATCTGAGGTCCAGCACTTTCTCTGACTCAAGACGTTAGGTGAAGGGAGAGATTCCCACTGACCACAAAGATGCAGCCACCAGCCATGGGCCAGCTACTCAGAGACCAGTTTTAAGTCCAGTGCTCTCACCCAAAGTGAGCCTAGGCCCTTGAAGCAGAGCCTCACAGCCGAGTGACCTCTCTGTGGGGTCCAGCATTTTAGTCTCACAGTCTTGGCCCTGCAATGCACTGTCACAATATCTTAACTCACAGCTCAAGGACAGAGTTGAGTGATAGCTCAGGGACATACTCCCGGGGCAACCAATGCACACACATGGTCCTGGGTACTATCTAAAGTGTGTGTGTGATCTCTCCACATCTCTCAGGTGAAGTGGCTTGGAGGATGGCTCACTGTGCACAGAGGACAGAAGACCTTACTAGTGTGGAAGACCAGAGGTGCTGCTGAATCTTCAAGGAGTGTCGCCTGTTGTGAACCTAGTACATAAATAAGGTAAGCTACCCTCCGCTCTGGGTGCATCTGTGGCAGTGTGGTCCCAGAATGGCCTAGGAGGAGGCTCATTTGTCCCTCCACTGTTCCATGGGGTGCTGTGTCCCAGAGTGGATATTGCTCCCGCTTGCTATGTGGTTTGACCCCCAACCTTTGTTATGTTAGAGGCCTAGTAGTCCGGGTCTGGCCTGCTAGGCTCCCTACCTGGATTTTTCAAAGCTTGCAACCTCCTCAAATGTGCTTGGATCGATGACGACACCCCTCAAATGCATTCCTTGGAAAAGCTGAACAAAATGAGTGAGAACCCTCTACCGTCGTTCTCATCGGATCTGAGGTCCATCACGCTGTCTGATCTAGGGTGGTAGGCGACAGGGCGAGCATAGCCTTGACCATAAACATTAAGCCACCAGCAAGAGCAGTAACCCAGAGACTGTGATCTTAAGTCCAGTGCTGTCACCAAAACGCTGAGCTGATACCCATGAGGCAGAGCTTCATTGGTCTACAGGCTGCTGTGTGGTGGACCAGCATTTGGTCTCCACAAAGTTGACCCATGAGATACTGTAACACAAAACTTTCTTCATTCTCAGGGACAGAGCTGATTGATAGGAGAGGACATTTAGCCCAGGGCAAATTTTGGGACACATATTGGTCCTGGGTACCTCCTGACATTTGTGTATAATCTCTTCACACTTCTCAGGTGCAGTTTGCACGGAAGTTGGACCCCTGCTTTGCACACAGAGCAGAAGGCTTTGCTCTGGTCAGACCACTGGAGGCGCTGGCAATTCCTGTGATGCATGTGGATGGGAGTGTGCAGTACCCATGAACGCCTGCAAAGGGTAAGCTGCCCTCTGGCCAGAATGCTGCTTTTGGTGCTGGCAGGTACCAGACCTGTCTTAGGTGTGCTTCCTCCACCATTCCCAATGGTGTGCGTGCTTGGCTCCCAAAATGCAAGGACTTGCTCACTGTCTGCCAATGGTCTGTACCCTCCAGCTGCTGGAGGCCTTTGGCGACCTGGGCTGGCCCACTGTGCCATCTGTCTTGAATTCTGACAATCTATAAGCTCCTTGAATGTGCTTGGATCCATGATGACACCCCTCAAATGCATTCCTTGGAAAAGCTGAACAAAATGAGTGAGAACCCTCTACCGTCGTTCTCATCGGATCTGAGGTCCAGCACTCTCTCTGACCCATGATGTTAGGTGAAGGGAGAGATTCCCATTGACCACAAGGTGCAACCACCAGCCATGGGCCAGCTACTCAGAGACCGTAGTTATAAGTCCAGTGCTTTCACCCAAAGTGAGCATAGGCCCTTGAATCAGAGCCCCACAGCCAAATGACCTCTCTGTGGGTTCCAGCATTTTAGTCTCACAGCCCTGGCCCTGCAATGCACTGTCACAATATCTTAACTCACATCTCAGGGACAGAGTTGAGTGATAGCTCAGGGACATACTCCCAGGGCAACCAATACACACACATGGTCCTGGGTACTATCTAAAGTGTGTGTGTGATCTCTCCACACCTCTCAGGTGAAGTGGCTTGGAGGATGGCTCGCTGTGCACAGAGGACAGACGACCTTACTAGTGTGGAAGACCGGAGGTGCTGCTGAGTCTTCGAGGAGTGTCGCCTGTTGTGAACCTAGTACATAAATAAGGTAAACTACCCTCCGCTCCGGGTGCAGTTGTGGCAGTGTGGTCCCAGAACGGCCTAGGAGGAGGCTCGTTTGTCCCTCCACAGTGCCATGGGGTGCTGTGACCCAGAGTGGATGTTGCTCCCTCTTACTATGTGGCTTGACCCCCAACCTTTGTTTTGTTAGAGGCCTAGTAGTCCGGGTCTGGCCTGCTAGGCTCCCTACCTGGATTTTTCAAAGCCTGCAACCTCCTCAAATGTGCTTGGATCGATGATGACACCCCTCAAATGCATTCCTTGGAAAAGCTGAACAAAATGAGTGAGAACCCTCTACCGTCGTTCTCATCGGATCTGAGGTCCAGCACGCTGTCTGACCTAGGGTGGTAGGCGACAGGGCGAGCATAGCCTTGACCATAAACATTTAGCCACCAGCAAGGGCAGCAACCCAGAGACTGTGATCTTAAGTCCAGTGCTGTCACCACAATGCTGAGCTGATACCCATGAGGCAGAGCTTCATTGGTCTACAGGCTGCTCTGTGGTGGACCAGCATTTGGACTCCACAATATTGACCCTCGAGGTACTGTGACAGGAACCTTCCTTCATTCTCAGGGACAGAGCTGAATTATAGGAGAGGGCATTTAGCCCAGGGCAAATTTTGGGACACATATTGGTCCTGGGTACCTCCTGACATTTGTGTATAATCTCTCCACACTTCTCAGGTGCAGTTTGCACGGAAGTTGGACCCCTGCTTTGCACACAGAGCAGAAGGCTTTGCTCTGGTCAGACCACTGGAGGCGCTGGCAATTCCTGTGATGCATGTGGATGGGAGTGTGAAGTACCCATGAACGCCTGCAAAGGGTAAGCTGCCCTCTGGCCAGAATGCTGCTTTTGGTGCTGGCAGGTACCAGACCTGTCTTGGGTGTGCTTCCTCCACCATTCCCAATGGTGTGCGTGCTTGGCTCCCAAAATGCAAGGACTTGCTCACTGTCTGCCAATGGTCTGTACCCTCCAGCTGCTGGAGGCCTTTGGCGACCTGGGCTGGCCCACTGTGCCATCTGTCTTGAATTCTGACAGTCTATAACCTCCTTAAATGTGCTTGGATCGATGATGACACCCCTCAAATGCATTCCTTGGAAAAGCTGAACAAAATGAGTGAGAACCCTCTACCGTCGTTCTCATCGGATCTGAGGTCCAGCACTCTCTCTGACCCATGATGTTAGGTGAAGGGAGAGATTCCCATTGACCACAAGGTGCAACCACCAGCCATGGGCCAGCTACTCAGAGACCGTAGTTATAAATCCAGTGCTTTCACCCAAAGTGAGCATAGGCCCTTGAAGCAGAGCCTCACAGCCGAATGACCTCTCTGTGGGGTCCAGCATTTTAGTCTCACAGCCCTGGCCCTGCAATGCACTGTCACAATATCTTAACTCACATCTCAGGGACAGAGTTGAGTGATAGCTCAGGGACATACTCCCGGGGCAACCAATACACACACATGGTCCTGGGTACTATCTAAAGTGTGTGTGTGATCTCTCCACACCTCTCAGGTGAAGTGGCTTGGAGGATGGCTCGCTGTGCACAGAGGACAGACGACCTTACTAGTGTGGAAGACCGGAGGTGCTGCTGAGTCTTCGAGGAGTGTTGCCTGTTGTGAACCTAGTACATGAATAAGGTAAACTACCCTCCGCTCTGGGTGCAATTGTGGCAGTGTGGTCCCAGAACGGCCTAGAAGGAGGCTCGTTTGTCCCTCCACAGTGCCATGGGTGCTGTGTCCCAGCGTGGATGTTGCTCCCTCTGGTTATGTGGGTTGACCCCCAACCTTTGTTATGTTAGAGGCCTAGTAGTCCGGGTCTGGCCTGCTAGGCTCCCTACCTGGATTTTTCAAAGCCTGCAACCTCCTCAAATGTGCTTGGATCGATGATGACACCCCTCAAATGCATTCCTTGGAAAAGCTGAACAAAATGAGTGAGAACCCTCTACCGTCGTTCTCATCGGATCTGAGGTCCAACACTTTCTCTGACTCAAGACGTTAGGTGAAGGGAGATATTCCCACTGACCACAAAGATGCAGCCGCCAGCCATGGGCCGCTACTAAGAGACCAGTTTTAAGTCCATTGCTCTCACCCAAAGTGAGCCAAGGCCCTTGAAGCAGAGCCTCACAGCCGAGTGACCTCTCTGTGGGGTCCAGCATTTTAGTCTCACAGTCTTGGCCCTCTAATGCACCGTCACAATATCTTAACTCACAGCTCAGGGGCAGAGTTGAGTGATAGCTCAGGGACATACTCCTGGGGCAACCAATGCACACACATGGTCCTGGGTTCTATCTAAAGTGTGTGTGTGATCTCTCTACAACTCTCAGGTGAAGTGACTTGGAGGATGGCTCGCTGTGCACAGAGGACAGACGACCTTACTAGTGTGGAAGACCGGAGGTGCTGCTGAGTCTTCGAGGAGTGTCGCCTGTTGTGAACCTAGTACATAAATAAGGTAAACTACCCTCCGCTCCGGGTGCAATTGTGGCAGTGTGGTCCCAGAACGGCCTAGGAGGAGGCTCGTTTGTCCCTCCACAGTGCCATGGGTGCTGTGTCCCAGCGTGGATGTTGCTCCCTCTGGTTATGTGGCTTGACCCCCAACCTTTGTTTTGTTAGAGGCCTAGTAGTCCGGGTCTGGCCTGCTAGGCTCCCTACCTGGATTTTTCAAAGCCTGCAACCTCCTCAAATGTGCTTGGATCGATGATGACACCCCTCAAATGCATTCCTTGGAAAAGCTGAACAAAATGAGTGAGAACCCTCTACCGTCGTTCTCATCGCATCTGTGGTCCAGCATGCTGTCTGACCTAGGGTGGTAGGCGACAGGGCGAGCATAGCCTTGACCATAAACATTTAGCCACCAGCAAGGGCAGCAACCCAGAGACTGTGATCTTAAGTCCAGTGCTGTCACCACAATGCTGAGCTGATACCCATGAGGCAGAGCTTCATTGGTCTACAGGCTGCTCTGTGGTGGACCAGCATTTGGACTCCACAATATTGACCCTCGAGGTACTGTGACAGGAACCTTCCTTCATTCTCAGGGACAGAGCTGAATTATAGGAGAGGGCATTTAGCCCAGGGCAAATTTTGGGACACATATTGGTCCTGGGTACCTCCTGACATTTGTGTATAATCTCTCCACACTTCTCAGGTGCAGTTTGCACGGAAGTTGGACCCCTGCTTTGCACACAGAGCAGAAGGCTTTGCTCTGGTCAGACCACTGGAGGCGCTGGCAATTCCTGTGATGCATGTGGATGGGAGTGTGAAGTACCCATGAACGCCTGCAAAGGGTAAGCTGCCCTCTGGCCAGAATGCTGCTTTTGGTGCTGGCAGGTACCAGACCTGTCTTGGGTGTGCTTCCTCCACCATTCCCAATGGTGTGCGTGCTTGGCTCCCAAAATGCAAGGACTTGCTCACTGTCTGCCAATGGTCTGTACCCTCCAGCTGCTGGAGGCCTTTGGCGACCTGGGCTGGCCACTGTGCCATCTGTCTTGAATTCTGACAGTCTATAACCTCCTTAAATGTGCTTGGATCGATGATGACACCCCTCAAATGCATTCCTTGGAAAAGCTGAACAAAATGAGTGAGAACCCTCTACCGTCGTTCTCATCGGATCTGAGGTCCAGCACTCTCTCTGACCCGTGATGTTAGGTGAAGGGAGAGATTCCCATTGACCACAAGGTGCAACCACCAGCCATGGGCCAGCTACTCAGAGACCGTAGTTATAAATCCAGTGCTTTCACCCAAAGTGAGCATAGGCCCTTGAAGCAGAGCCTCACAGCCGAATGACCTCTCTGTGGGTTCCAGCATTTTAGTCTCACAGCCCTGGCCCTGCAATGCACTGTCACAATATCTTAACTCACATCTCAGGGACAGAGTTGAGTGATAGCTCAGGGACATACTCCCGGGCAACCAATACACACACATGGTCCTGGGTACTATCTAAAGTGTGTGTGTGATCTCTCCACACCTCTCAGGTGAAGTGGCTTGGAGGATGGCTCGCTGTGCACAGTGGACAGATGACCTTACTAGTGTGGAAGACCGGAGGTGCTGCTGAGTCTTCGAGGAGTGTCGCCTGTTGTGAACCTAGTACATAAATAAGGTAAACTACCCTCCGCTCCGGGTGCAATTGTGGCAGTGTGGTCCCAGAACGGCCTAGGAGGAGGCTCGTTTGTCCCTCCACAGTGCCATGGGTGCTGTGTCCCAGCGTGGATGTTGCTCCCTTTGGTTATGTGGCTTGACCCCCAACCTTTGTTTTGTTAGAGGCCTAGTAGTCCGGGTCTGGCCTGCTAGGCTCCCTACCTGGATTTTTCAAAGCTTGCAACCTCCTCAAATGTGCTTGGATCGATGATGACACCCCTCAAATGCATTCCTTGGAAAAGCTGAACAAAATGAGTGAGAACCCTCTACCGTCGTTCTCATCGGATCTGAGGTCCAGCACGCTGTCTGACCTAGGGTGGTAGGCGACAGGGCGAGCATAGCCTTGACCATAAACATTTAGCCACCAGCAAGGGCAGCAACCCAGAGACTGTGATCTTAAGTCCAGTGCTGTCACCACAATGCTGAGCTGATACCCATGAGGCAGAGCTTCATTGGTCTACAGGCTGCTCTGTGGTGGACCAGCATTTGGACTCCACAATATTGACCCTCGAGGTACTGTGACAGGAACCTTCCTTCATTCTCAGGGACAGAGCTGAATTATAGGAGAGGGCATTTAGTCCAGGGCAAATTTTGGGACACATATTGGTCCTGGGTACCTCCTGACATTTGTGTATAATCTCTCCACACTTCTCAGGTGCAGTTTGCACGGAAGTTGGACCCCTGCTTTGCACACAGAGCAGAAGGCTTTGCTCTGGTCAGACCACTGGAGGCGCTGGCAATTCCTGTGATGCATGTGGATGGGAGTGTGAAGTACCCATGAACGCCTGCAAAGGGTAAGCTGCCCTCTGGCCAGAATGCTGCTTTTGGTGCTGGCAGGTACCAGACCTGTCTTGGGTGTGCTTCCTCCACCATTCCCAATGGTGTGCGTGCTTGGCTCCCAAAATGCAAGGACTTGCTCACTGTCTGCCAATGGTCTGTACCCTCCAGCTGCTGGAGGCCTTTGGCGACCTGGGCTGGCCCACTGTGCCATCTGTCTTGAATTCTGACAGTCTATAACCTCCTTAAATGTGCTTGGATCGATGATGACACCCCTCAAATGCATTCCTTGGAAAAGCTGAACAAAATGAGTGAGAACCCTCTACCGTCGTTCTCATCGGATCTGAGGTCCAGCACTCTCTCTGACCCATGATGTTAGGTGAAGGGAGAGATTCCCATTGACCACAAGGTGCAACCACCAGCCATGGGCCAGCTACTCAGAGACCGTAGTTATAAATCCAGTGCTTTCACCCAAAGTGAGCATAGGCCCATGAAGCAGAGCCTCACAGCCGAATGACCTCTCTGTGGGGTCCAGCATTTTAGTCTCACAGCCCTGGCCCTGCAATGCACTGTCACAATATCTTAACTCACATCTCAGGGACAGAGTTGAGTGATAGCTCAGGGACATACTCCCGGGGCAACCAATACACACACATGGTCCTGGGTACTATCTAAAGTGTGTGTGTGATCTCTCCACACCTCTCAGGTGAAGTGGCTTGGAGGATGCCTCGCTGTGCACAGAGGACAGACGACCTTATTATTGTGGAAGACCAGAGGTGCTGCTGAGTCTTCGAGGAGTGTCGCCTGTTGTGAATCTAGTACATAAATAAGGTAAGCTACCCTCTGCTCTGGGTGCATCTGTGACAGTGTGGTCCCAGAACGGCCTAGGAGGAGGCTCGTTTGTCCCTCCACAATGCCATGGGGTGCTGTGTCCCAGCGTGGATGTTGCTCCCTCTTGCTATGTGGCTTGACCCCCAACCTTTGTTATGTTAGAGGCCTAGTAATCCGGGTCTGGCCTGCTAGGCTCCCTACCTGGATTTTTCAAAGCCTGCAACCTCCTCAAATGTGCTTGGATCGATGATGACACCCCTCAAATGCATTCCTTGGAAAAGCTGAACAAAATGAGTGAGAACCCTCTACCGTCGTTCTCATCGGATCTGAGGTCCAGCACGCTGTCTGACCTAGGGTGGTAGGCGACAGGGCGAGCACAGCCTTGACCATAAACATTTAGCCACCAGCAAGGGCAGCAACCCAGAGACTGTGATCTTAAGTCCAGTGCTGTCATTACAATGCTGATCTGATTCCCATGAGGCAGAGCTTTAATGGTCTACAGTCTGCTCTGTGGTGGTCCAGCATTTGGTCTCCACAATGTTGACCCTTGAGGTACTGTGACATGAACCTTCCTTCATTCTCAGGGACAGAGCTGAATTATAGGAGGGGGCATTTATAGCCCAGGGCAAATTTTGGGACACATATTGGTCCTTGGTACCTCCTGACATTTGTGTATAATCTCTCCACACTTCTCAGGTGCAGTTTGCACGGAAGTTGGACCCCTGCTTTGCACACAGAGCAGAAGGCTTTGCTCTGGTCAGACCACTGAAGGTGCTGGCAATTCCTGTGATGCATGTGGATGGGAGTGTGAAGTACCCATGAACGCCTGCAAAGGGTAAGCTGCCCTTTGGCCAGAATGCTGCTTTTGGTGCTGGCAGGTACCAGACCTGTCTTGGGTGTGCTTCCTCCACCATTCCCAATGGTGTGCGTGCTTGGCTCCCAAAATGCAAGGACTTGCTCACTGTCTGCCAATGGTCTGTACCCTCCAGCTGCTGGAGGCCTTTGGCGACCTGGGCTGGCCCACTGTGCCATCTGTCTTGAATTCTGACAGTCTATAACCTCCTTGAATGTGCTTGGATCGATGATGACACCCCTCAAATGCATTCCTTGGAAAAGCTGAACAAAATGAGTGAGAATCCTCTACCGTCGTTCTTATCGAATCTGAGGTCCAACTTTCTCTCTGACCCAGGATGTTAGGTGAAGGGAGAGTTTCTTCTTGACCACCCAGGTGCTGACACCAGCCAGGGGTTAGCTACTCAGAGAAGCCAGCCTTAAATCCAGTGCTTTCACCCAAAGTGAGCATATGCCTGTGAAGCAGAGCCTCATTAGTCGAGTGTTGCTCTGGTCAAGAATGTGCCCCTATTATGTGTACATTTCTTCAATTATTTAGAATTCTTAATAATGTTTGCATCTGAAATTAGTAAAATGTATAGACATAATAATAAATATACATCTATACTTCACTTGATGAATAAAATTTCAATATAAAACATGTATTAGATATTTACTTCATGTTGCATCTAATATGGTTAACCATATTTGAAAGAAATAACCAAATAAACAACCAAAAATTCAAATTGAAAAAAAAAAAGAATGTGCTCTCACATTCTTGGTTCCTCGAAGACTGTCACATATATCCTCACTCGTATTTCCCAGACCGAGCTAGCGAGAGCACAGTGCATTTCCCTGGGGCAATCAGTGTACACGTATGGTCCTGGGTACTTTGTAAAGTGTGTGTATGATCTCTCCACACCTCTCAGGTGAAGTGGTTTGGGGGATGACTCACTGTGTGCAGAGGGCAGAAGACCTTACTATTGTGGATGAACGGAAATGCTGCTGAGTCTTTGAGGAGTGACACCCCTGAAATGCATTCCTTGGAAAAGCTGTACAAAATGGGTGAGAACTCTCTACCTTCATTCTCATTGAATTTGAGGTCCGGCATGGTGTCTGACCCAGGATGTTAGGCGAGAGGGAAACTCTCTTCTTGACACAAATGTGTAGCCCACAATCAGCCAATAGCAACTCAGAGACTCTGACTTTAAGTCAAGTGTTTCTCCCCAACAGTGAGCATGTACCTGTGAAGCGGAGCTTCACTGGTCAAGCGGCCACTGTAGTGCTCCAAGTTTTGGGCTGTAGAATTTTGCGCCTCAAAGGCACAGTCACACATACCTTCAGTCATACCTCAGGGACAGAACTGAGTTATAGCAGAGGGCATTTAGCTCTGGGGCAACTATTTGTACACATCATGGTCCTGTTATTTTTCTGAAGTGTGTATGTGATCTCTCAACACCTCTCAGGTGCTGTTAGCGTGAGAGGGATGACTTTCCAGGTGCAGAGGATGGAAGACCTCACTGCCATGGAAGATTGGAGTTGCTGGGAGGTTTCAAGGAGTGTTGGTGCTGGTGTACCTTGTCCTTGGATGCTGACATATGGTAAGTTACCCTCCAATCCAGGTGCACCCTCGGCCTGGTGATCCCAGAATTCCCTAGATGGACACTCATACACCTCTTTACCAGTGTTATGGGTTTTTTTTCCCCCAGTCTAAATGGACTCCTCTGGCCTGGTAGCTGGGCTTCCCACCTCCAGGCTGCTGGAAACCTTGACTCCTGGCCTGCTCTACTATGCTCCCCACCTGGATTTCTTAAAGTCTGCTGCCTCCTTGAATGTGCTCGGATCGATGATGACACCCCTCAAATGCATTCCTTGGAAAAGCTGAACAAAATGAGTGAGAACTCTCTACCATTGTTCTCATCGAATCTGAGGTCCCCACATTGTCTGACCAAGGACATAGGTGATAGGGACAGCTTCTCCTTGACCACAAACATTCAGCCACCATCCAGGGGTAGCAACTTAGACTACAACCTTGAGTCCCCTGCTTTCACTCCAGCAGTGAGCTTATGCCCATTTAGCAGAGCTTCGTTGGTGAAGTCGCTGCTCTGTGGATCACCAAATGTGGTGATCCAGCATTTGGTCTCCACAATCTTGGCTCTGGAAGGCACTGTCAGACACCACTTCAGTCATATCTCAGGGGCAGAGTTGAATGACAGCAGAAGGCATTTGGCCCCAGGGCAACTTTTGGTGCTCTTTATGGTCCTGGTTAACATTCTGAAGTGTGTGTGTGATCTCTTATCACTTCTCAGGTGCACTTGGAGAGGTTGGCTGTCCAGGCACAGAGGGAGCAATTGCTTAGTGCTGTCGAAGTCTGGAGATGCTGCTGAGTCTTTGTTGCGTGTTGCTGGGCGTATGTACATCCATGCCGTCATACAGTATGCTATCTCCCCAAAGAGTGGTTTCCCAGAACTGCCTAGGAGGGCTCTTCCACCCCTTCTCCAGTGCCATTTAGGGATTTTTCCCCAGAATTAATTGACTCTCTCTGTGACTGGGCGGCTGCTGGAGACCTTAGGGTCCTGTCATAGTCCACTAGGCCAACCGCCTGGAATTCTAATAGTGTGCAGCCTCCTCATATGTGCTCAAATTGATGATGACACCTTCAAATGCATTCCTTGGAAAAGCTGAACAAAATGAGTGAGAACTCACTACCATCGTTCTCATGGAATCTGAGGTCCAGCATGGTGTTTGAGTTGGTACAATAGGTGACAGGGAGAGCTTCCCATCAACCACATACTTTAGCCTTCAGCTGAAGGCCTACATTTTAGAGGATGCTGTGTATGTTAGTACTTTCTCACGGGAGGTTGTGGGCATTGGTTAGGTAAATTCTTGGTCCTTTGCTGACTGAGGATATATTGTTTGGGCTTCATATTCTTGCCCCTTGCATGTGGTATAACTCACCTTTAGTCTGACTTCAGGGACAGATTTGAGTGATGGTAAAGACATCTTGTACCTGGGGCAAGCTTTTGCACAGATTTTGGTCCTGACATCCTGGATCTCTTAAGCATGTGTGTGATCTCTCAACACCTCTCAGATGCCATTGGAATGGAGAGTGGATGGCTCACTGTGCAGAGGGCGGAGGACCTTGCTACCATGGATGACTGGAGGTGCCGGTGAATTGCTCTGGATCCTCCCTGAGTGTAAGTTTCCTTCCCCCTAATGTGTTGAATTTGCCTGTCAGTTCATAAATCTGACTTTCAAGAGGCTCATCTACCTCTTCCCCAGTGGCATGAAGTTGTTGATTTCACGGTGGATGATCTTGACTCTGGCTCAGGATTTGGGTTTCTTACCCTGTGGGCTAAATAGATTATGGGGTCCTTGGCTTGTCTGCTTAACCTTCCAGCCTGGATTTCTTAGTCTACAACCTCAGAAAATGTGCACATATCCATGCTGACTCCTCTAGTATGCATATGTTGGAAAAGCTGAGCAAAATGAGGTAGAACTATTATCGTTGTTGTCATTGGATTGAATTCTAGCTTATTGTCCATCCTGAGATGTTGGCATGAGCGACAGCTTCCCCTTGACCACAAACATGCAGCCACCAGCCAGGGAACCAACACCTCAAGGGCTATAGCCCTAAGGTCAGTGCTTTTATTATTTATTTAATTTTATTTTTTTAATGGGAATAATTTATTTTTTTTAATTTATTTATTTATACAAGAACTGAGGTACAGTCAGAGGTATAGGAGGGTGAGAGAATTCACCAGAGACAGAGCAGGGAGCAGAACAGGCAGACGGACCAAAGACTCTGCTGAGGGGAACAGCGGGCGCGGCAGGAGAGGTCTGCTGTGCCATGTTGGATTCTCCCTGGCCGGCCGGGATTGAACCCCCGCTGCAGAGGCTGCAGACAGTTTCATTGTGTGGCGCTCAACCCACTGCACCACTGGGGAGGCCCAGGTCAATGCTTTTACCATAAGAATGTGCTGGGGATTGAGGTGCAGCTTTTGGTCAAGGGATAGCTCTGTGGTGACCCAGTGGTCAGCAGGCATCCTGGTCCTAGGATTGGCAGTGTGGCTTTTGTCTGGCTCTGGTCACAGGTGGAAAGGATCTTTTGCAGCATGGCAGGTTTCTGGACCCCTGGGCTTGGCTGGTATCCATGTGTAGGAATTGATAATCAAAGTTTACATAACTTCCATGATCACCACAGCCCCTCTATCAGCTACTATTTGTGCAGTAGTCTTTACCTCATACAATTGATGGCTTTGGACATTTTTATCTTTTAAGATAATGGAGCTACCTCATGCATCTGTCGTCTCTGATGTCTGTGTTCATAGTCTCTTTTGGAACTAACTTTTTCACTAGTATTTTGATTAAAGATGCCATACTGTGAAATTTAACAGGCTTTCTCATCTTGTCTTGATATGTTCAGTATGGTGTCTATAGTTTCTGGAATATGAATGTGTTGCACCTCACAATTTAACTGTTTTCCTAGCTAATAGATACTTTATGAAAAATTTCCTAATATGTCAAGTTTCCTAATGCTTCTATTGTATGGTCTTTAGTGTAGTCTTTTATATTTTTGGTATTAATTACCTGCAAAGGCAGAGCGAGTTATATTTTGTGAAGTTGGATGTATGTGGTGGAATTTTCCTTTTTTTTTTTGTATTTGTGCAATTCCCTTATGTATTTATTTCTCTGTTTTCCTAGATGAGTTGACAGTGATTCTCTGTAATTGGCTGTGTGGCATCTGCACATCCTGTGCTAGCCAGCAAGGTGTAGGTGTCCCTCTCCAGTGGCCAGGGATCGAACGGTGCTGCAAAGGCTTTGGGCAGCTTTGCAGCCCAGCACTAAACCACTGCGCCACCGGGGAGGCGCCAATTTTTCTGTACTTTAAATGATTTGTGAAAAATAAATTATACATAAATAAATTTATGTATAATAATATAATGAGTGTTGAAATAATTATGACTAGATTGCAAGCATATTAAATATACTGTGAAGTATGAATGACAGAATCACTTCTGTGATCACTGGCCCACCAAACCACCATAAAAGGCAAATATGTAAAGGGGAATTTTGTTTGACTATCAAATGGTACCCAAAAACTTTGATACTGGGAAACAAACATACTGGCATTCCTGGAAGAAATTAATTGTGCAAAGGTCTATAAAGCACAAACACAGGATGACATGACAAGTCTCTGGGTGCTTAACTGCCAGCATCTACATACTGATACCAAATTGACCCTTCAGAAGCACCTTCTGAATAATGAAACCCTTAGGAAATATCCATTCACACACTGGTCTGATCGGCCATCATCTTCTGAGTGACCACCTATGTCTTTGGTGTGATTTGATGGTCAACTTCCAAAGGTATTATGGACTTCTCATTTTCTATTAACTAGAACCCAGTATATATAAATTGACGTACTCTATGTACAGCTTTCACTGTCTATTTACCTTTGCTTGCCCACCAAGTCTCTTGAATCAGAAGTTTTGTTTTTGATTTTGCTATCAACTGGACAAGTGATTTCATATTTATTGCTGGCTTCAACTACATGCTGCATTAAACTTTTTTAGATGTGAGCTGAATATATTTCAAATTGGGATTTTCATATGGATCTTATTGGTCATTTTATTATCTTCTCAGCGGGTTTCTAATGTCTTTAAAGAGACACCCTAGTTATAATAAATTTCTTTACAGCAATTATTTTGGCAAAACTGAAAAGAAACATGTTAGAAAAAGTATTTTTTTTAATTCCTGTGATGAAAATTGTGAACATAATTGTTCTTGTCTAAAATGATTCTATGAGTATCTATTATGAATTCTTATAACTAAATATTCAATTAGGAAAATCTCGTTTTGCAATTTCCTGTATACTTTGTAGATTGTGTGTGGTATTAGAATTCCATGGAATCTTACCACTATATTAATGAAGTTCTGGTTTTTTCAGTTGTTCTGGCTGGCTTATCTGGGAATGAATAAAGGAATACGTTCGAGGTAACATCCAGTTTTTGATGAATTTGATTTCTAGTAAATTTATTTTTATTATTTTTTAAATATTAAGAATTTAAGTGAGTTGAAATTGGTTAATACAAGTAATATTATAATATCATTAGCATAATAATCTCTTTTAGCATAATAATCTCTTGACCCTAAGTCATATACAGTGTTGTAAGCCTGTATTACATCAATAATATTAGTATTAACCTGTTGCAATCTGAGGCTTAGTTTTTAAAATTTTTTAAATTTCATGCTTTATTTTAAAAATTTTATGCTTTCTCTGCTTTGAATAACCAGAATTGTACTAAAGGAGTATAAATTAAAGTAGACTTACAGTGAGCTCTCCTACCTTATACAATTTAGACAAACAGACATGTATACCTTCTTCCTTTCCACATTAATACTCTTTCAATATGTTGAGGTGGAACAAAAATCAGTCTTCATATGGATGAATATTTCTTCTCTTTTATATGTAATATGAAGGAAAACATTGGGAATAATTCTTCCTCCTCTCCTCAAGACCATTGGAAATATTCATGCTGATATGCTTTTTGTCCTGAAGATATTGACATTCCTCTTAGGGAATCATAACATGTCAAAGACATTACCCATGCTAGTTAATCATATGATTAGGTCATTGACTGCAGTGACTGGTCTCCATGATTGAATTCTGTGGATCAACATGTCCCTTATGACAGAATTCTAAGTGCTCATTGCCTGCTACATATTTCAAGTTCAAGGTCTTTTACAAATATGTCTGGATCAATGATAACTTCAAAAATATGGATCTCATTGGAGTCTGAACAAAACGAGTAACACAATCATTTTTGTGAGCTGAGATCCAGCCAAGGGTGCACGCTAGGCACAATTGGACCTGGGGTATTTGACAGCTCACTTGCTTGTGTACATTAAAGGAAATGAATTGTACGTAGGTCTAGAGATAACCAATTATAGAAAGATACGACCACTCTTTGAGTGCTTGACTGACAGCATAACGCACATGCACCCATAATAAAAAGACTGTGAAAAACCAGCCCCCAAGGGGTGAACACTGCAGGGAATTCAAGTATTCACAATGTTTCTTTAGATGCCATATCAACTGTGAGGATCAGTACGTATAGATCTACTAGTCAATTAGAATAAATTATTAGTTATTCCTTGTCATTTTTCTCTTAACTGAAAGAAATATGGGGATACTGAAGTATAGATTATATTCATTGGATGTTCTTATTATATGATTTAATTGGCTAAATCAGTTTCAGAAATTTGAGTTTTTTTTTAATTTTTCTTGTTGCTCAGGTAGAAATTTTCTAGATTTTGATCAACTAAAATATGTCTTTTAAATTATGACTTTAAAACATGGAAAGATTAAATTTCCAATCCTTGGAATTTTCTGTGACTATCATATTCCATCAATGGGTTTATATGTATTAAAAGAAAAGTTACAATTTTATTTTTTGTTTATTACTCTGCTTTTATTATTATAGTATTTTTTTGATAAAGCATTAACTTTATTTATTTAATAATCAAATATTTTTTATTTTGAAGTTACAATAAATGCCTCTAAAATTTCTACTTTATAACATGCATAGATCTTGAAGTCTTTTATTCATATAATACTCTTTCTTTCATACTCTTTCTTTCTTTCATACTCTTTCTTTCTTTCATACTCTTTCTTTCAAAGAATCTCAAAGCTTATAAGGATGTGTCAAATTGTTTATAACACAAGGAACATTTTTGTTTAAAAATGAGCAATTTTTTTGCTAACATAATTTTTTTTGTTTAAATATTTTATTTTATATAATTCTTACATCTTTTTTCATCTTTGCACAATGTATGCATTTTCATTTGGGTTATATTCCCCATACAATTGAACCCCCCTCCTTATTTTGACACTAGTCCTTCCTTTCCCTTCCCCTCCCTTCCCCCCCCTCCAGTGTGTCTCTGGTTTATAGTTGTTTGTTGATTTTGATTTTTACTTTGTATTGATTAGTCTTTTTCCTGGTCTCTTATTTAGGTTTTGTAAATTCCTGCTATGAGACCATGCGGTATTTTTCTTTTTCTTTCTGACTTATTTCGCTGAGCATGATCCCTTCTAGCTCCATCCATGTTGCTGCAAACTGCATGTGTTTATCTTTTTTGAATGCTGAGTAATATTCCATGGTGTATATGTACCATATCTTCTTAATCCAGTCATCTATTTTTGGGCATTTGGGTTGTTTCCATAGCTGAGCATAGGGGTGCAGGTGCCCTTTGGAATTCCTGTTTCTGTGTCCTTTGGGTAAATACCTAGGAGTGGAATTGCTGGATCATATGGAAGCTCTATGTTTAGTAGTTCAAGAAATCTCCACACAGCGCTCCATAGTGGTTGGACAAGTTTGCACTCCCACCAGCAGTGCAGGAGAGTTCCTTTTTCTCCACAACCTCGCCAACATTTGTTGTTGCTAGTTTTTTTAATATGTGCCATTCTCACTGGTGTGAGATGGTATCTCATTGTAGTTTTGATTTGCGTTTCCCTATTACAAGTGATGTTGAATATTTTTCATATGCCTGTTGGTCATTTGCATTTCTTCTTCAGAGAAGTTTCTTTTTAGCTCTTCTGCCCATTTTTTGACTGGATTATTTTCTTTGTTTTTGTTGAGTCTCATCAGCTCTTTGTAGATTTTTGTTTTTAAAAGACTGAAATCATATAGACTATGTTCTATGACCACAAGACAATTTAATTAGAAAAAAAACAAATAAATCTGGGAAATTTCCAAACATGATAAATTCACATTCTTTACAGAACCCATGTGTCAAAAAATAATCATAATAGAAACTGGAAAACATTCAGAACTGAATAAAGATATGCTTAGAGATAGTTATAGTTTTAAATGACTGTATCAGAAGAGATATCAAATAACTAATTGAAATAAGAAGAAAAAGAATAAGCTGGAAAATTAAACCCAATGTAGTACAAGAAATTAAAGAATAAAGATGTGAGCAAAGATTAATAAATTGACAAACATTTACACTGCCATGTAACAAAGTGAGAAGATACAAATCAGTAAAATTCAATGTTCACATTCATATATTTTCCAGCTACAATTTTCAGGTCTATATTGTATCAGAAATCAGGAAATTAATATATACACAAATATGTCATTACTCTGGCCCCTAACAATTCTCAAACCTTTGTTCAGTGGCAGTCAAAGTTCTGTTTGATTTATCTAGAGCTATTACATGTATGGCAGTACATGACAAGTGATGTAATATTATCATAAAAACAACATTTTAAAAATACCTCATGTTAAAATCTTAGTTACAAAAATTTGGGGGAAATTGTTTGAAAACAGAATTGTAAATTACCACATTATATTACATATTTCTAAAATTATTGACTTGTCAGGGAGTAAAAAAATGAAATAAAGACAATGACCTTGCATTGATATGTTTATATTCAGAAGATAAATGCATATTTTAACAATTCTCTATTAACTTTTCTCTCATGTAAAAGTTTAAATTGTGTACCTTTAAATCAATCTTTTAAGATATTTTAATATTTGACATTAGAATAAAACCTGTAAAGTGCATTTGATTAAATTTGTATTATGGTTTCTGCAGATGACTTCAGAAAGAGTATTGAGGCATCTCTTTGAGATACATACAATTTTTAATTTGTGCATCAGATAATCAGCAAAGATAAGATCAATAAATTACATGTAAGCCAATGTCACGTGCTTCTCTGAGAGTACCATGAACACAGTTATCAAATGTGTTCTTTTTTTTGTCACAATTCCTCTGTGGTTATATTAAAGTTCAGAAATGATTATGTTAAATAAGTTCTTCAAAATCATAGATGGAAGTATTGTATTTACGGATGTCTTTTAGATGAAGAATGGTTAGAACACTTCTGATTTATTGCACATAAATGTGCTCTTTCATTAAATTATTGCTTGGAGAAATTTTTAGACTACTATTTAAAAATAGAACTTTACATTGTGCAAAAATGAAAAATGATGTAAAAAATATATAAAATTAAAAAATAAAAATAGAAATTTAGGATCTCTTTGTGGCCTGCCTAGTGGTTAAATCTCAGCACTATAACCGCTATGGTCTGAGCTCAATCCTTGCCCAGGGAGCTGACCCACATATGGAATAGCAGACCTCTCCTGGCTCGCCCACTGCTCCCCTCAGCAGTGTTTTTCATTAGATCGTTCTGTTCTGCTCCCCTCTCTGTCTCTGATGAATCCTCTCCCCACCCTGCACCTCTGGCCTATACTCCAGTTCTTCTATACATAATAATTCTTTTAAAAATATTTAAAAATTTTTAAAAATATATAAAATATATTTAAAAATTTTAAAAAATATAAAAATTATATAAAATGTATAAAATTCCATTTACCAAAAAAAAAAACCCGAGAAATTTAGTTTAATCCACTCTTTCTAGAGATGTTTATATTATTGACATGTACATTTTTTTCTCTAAAAATGGTCTTGTGGCTTTTTTTTTTTTTTTTTTTGCCATTGAAATTGTTAGGATCCTCCCTTGAAGTTCACTGGGTGGTAATAGAGAAATGATATTTTTCACTGATCAGTATATTAGCTTTTTTCTTTTTGTTTTTAAACATCTAGTCCTAATGTGATGGGAATGCTATATCTAGTTAGCATTAATTATTAGCCGGCCACTCTGTCCACTGGACCTCAGGGGCAAGGGAGCGCAGTGCAAGTTTGAAAGTTATGCATTTAGCAGCGTCCTCCTTTTCCTGTATAACACAGGAGACCCACACTTTATAAATGTTTGATTGCTAAGATTACATGCATGCATGTGTTGTATGTATTGAGCTTATATGTACATATAGCTGACTTCATAGCTGCATTTTTTTTTAAAGATTTTTTTCTGTTTTGTTTTTTTCCTTCCTTTCAGGTGAAGCCAGATCCTAGAAGGGAATGGAATCTGTCTGTTCCTCTGCCTTTCTTCTTAAATGTCAGCTCCAAAGCTTGAGCTGACAACTCACTTCTCAGTGATTCTCTATTCCTACCTTTGGCCTTTTGGATGCCCCTGCAGGTATGACTATATGAACGGGAAACTGTAGATTTGTCAGAAAAGGGCCTAAGGTATATAAGAATTGATAGATCCCTGCTTTTCTTAAGTTTGAAAGCATTTGTTGCAGCTAAATAGCATTGAAAACCTACCCAGGAATCATATGAGAGTGGGCACAGTGACTGGGAGTTACAGCTGTGGTCACTGTAGGCCTTTCCAAATGGGTGATCTTTCTTCAATGATCCTATCCTAAAGCTGAATCAGCCTCTCTTGATAAGACCATTTACTGACTTACTCCTCAGCTCTTTATTTGTATGATAGATGCATCAAAGAGGCTTTTAATTTCTTATGGCTTGACATTTTTGAGTTTGTTTTTGTGACATGAGCACCTTATGGACTGTCTGGCATTAGAACAGGTTTTCAATAAACGTTTCTTGAGAATAGGTATGTCAATAGATTATTTTGAGTGATTTCATAAATAACCTGGTCAACTAAACAGAAAAAGATGAATGATTTTAGGAGACATTATTTAAAGAAAGGTTCAGGCAAGCCCATCAGTTTTGAAAAGGCTCAAGAGCAAAGGGCCCTGATGTAATGTGCCAACACTGAAATACATGTTGATATAGAGCAGCTAGTTATAGCTTTAGGACTGTGTAAGGGAGTAAGATGCAACTCCCGAAAGAAATTAATATGTAAGAATGCCAAAGAGTGACCTCCCAGCTCCCTAATGAATTGTGTTTTTCACTGAAAGTGGTATTTCTCATTTTATTTTCTCCTCCTCAGATGATATCTCGGGAATGGTTTTGGGAGTGAATGATTCCAGTTACTCTCTGAAACAAGAATCTCCAGACAAAGAGCCTTTTCACCTACCTGTTAGCAAAGGGCCATTCTCTGAAGGTAAGTTTTTCATTGGGGTAGTCTTGCTTTATTGTAGAAACCATGTCTAGGTAGAAAATACGATGTTAATAAAATGTTTTCTGCAGATTGGGGACATTTAGTTACATTCTAAATGGACCCCAAGGGTCTGATTACATAATAAGTTAAACAATATAGCTTTTTCACACTCATTAGCTTTTCTATATCACAGTGCATTTGCTATTAATATGAAGGGTTTTTTCTAACCATCAAGCTGAGTTCCTTGACCAGATTCATTGTGTTACTGGCAAACTGTTTTACACATGAGATACAGTAGATTCTCAATGATCAAATAAAGGAAGTAGAACTTTAAGGTGCTAATTACAAAGGGACAAAGTTAGATTAAAAATACCAGCTAGTTGGAGATGCTGTTTTTAGCCCAGCAAAGGGGAAAGCATAGCTCCAATTTCCAAAATTGTGACTTTCTCTGTGTCCTCTGGGTAGATTGGTTTTAGCACATGTCACAGAAGAGTGCTCAAAGTTTTCACAGCCCCTCTGACAGGCTACTTAGGAAAAGTGTTCCTGACCTTTGTCACTTTTCCCCACTGTGTCCTTGCAGGTGATGACTCTAACAGTGAGGTGGATTTGTTACTTCTACCACCAGCTTCACCAAAACCATGATACATTCATCCTTATGCATGGAGATTCCTCTCCTTCCTGTGTTGCAGCGGACACCTCCTGCAGATAAGAAATGCTTAACTGAGAAATGCTCATGTTGGGATATCATCGATGAGACTTTAATTTGGGCATGGTGACTGTTTCCCTTCTGCTACTTGATTCAATCCCAGGAGCCTCAGTAGAGGAAATTTATTGCACAAGAAACTCAAAATGATGGAATTGCTCAGTGCTCCCATAAATATACATTTATAATTTTCATTTGCCATGTGGTAAATTTAAAACATAGGACACATTAAAAAGAAACTGCATGATTTTTTTTCAAAAATTCAAAGCATATCTAAATATCTAACATATAAATTAAGTGCCCTCCTCTTTCTCAAATCTATCTCCCAGAGTTTTCCTCTATTAAGGGAATTGTGTGCATTCTTTAAGTGGATCGATGTGCACAAACACACACGCAAGTTATTTTGGGGGGGTTCTGGAAATGGGGCCATACTGTACACATTCTTCTGCAAATTGCCTTTTATTTAATAGTTTTTCAATGCCCTTTTTCTATTTCAATAATACACATCTTTGTCATTTGTTGAATGACTACATAATTGTTTTGTAGATACACTTAAAGGTTTTAAGCATTTCTCATTCAGAGATATTTATGTAAGCACCAAATTTCTGTGCAATGAGCCTCCCTATATATCAATAATTTTGCAATTGTCAATTATATCATAATAAATTACTTAGCAGTTGAAATACTGGGATTAAGGATATAAACATTTTTCAAATTTTGAAAATTATTACAAGACTTCCTTTAAAATGTGGTAACAATTTTACCCTCAAATGGCAATGAATGAGATTGCCATCTCCCACAACCTTACAGATAATGGATTTTATAAATATTTAAAATCTTTGCCAATGTTATAGCCCAAACTATTGTCTTAAACTGTATTTTTGTTTTTTAGTTTAATCATTTTCTTCATGTTTATTAGTCATCTGTATTTTTTAATTTCTTCTTTATGTCCAATTTTGGGGGTTGGGGGAGCATTTAGTCTCTTCCTGAACTCATTTGTTATTGGGGGAATGAGCTTTGGATTGTCAAGCATTACAGATATTTTTACACACTCTAAACTTTGTTTTTGTTATAAGAATGTGTATAATTGTTATATGTCCAAGTATAACCATGTCTGCTATGGCTTCTGAGTTTCATGTCATTTTGGAAAGATATTTATGCTGATTCCATAAAACCCTTCACCTATGTTAACTTCTAATTCTTTCGTGTTTTTTAAATTCAAATTCGTAAAATCATGAGAAATTTTTTTGATTTGAAATCTTAAAGTTGCCAAGTTATTTGCCATTACTTGCGATTATTTGCCAATAATTGCACATTTATCTGTAATGCCATCTTGCATATATGCTGTATTCTCATCTGTGACTGGCTCCATTTTTGTTCTGTGGATCTGTGTGTGTCTTCTTCTGCCTCCTGTCTCATGTGTTTTCTCATTGGAAGAAATTACAGTTTAGACTGCAATTTCCTCAACTTTAATAAATTAATATGGGGAAAATTGGTTCTTAATAAGTCTTCCTATCCAAGGACAAGGTATGTCTTTCTTTTATTCAATAATTTACTTACTGTTAATATTTTCACTTTGTGATGGGTATATTTTCTTTCAGCTTATTTACTTGATAATATTACTGCTTCTGAAAGTTTGTTTTATTTTGGGGGGCAAGTGGTCACCTTACTCTTTCTCAAGACTTCTCATATTGTTTCAAATATGTACTAAATCCTTTGCAAATATTGATAGTTTGTATTCTCCTTTCCAAATGATCTGGGTTTTAGTTACGTTGATAAATGTTACTGACTGTTACTTGCAGAGCACTTACATGATTGTGGAAATACTGCCTACCCTGATTTTGGTTTTAATGGAATGCTTCTTTGGTTTGACCAGCATAGTGTTACTGATCTGGTATGCAGAAAGGCTCCCAGAAGGAGCTATAATCAGGAAATTGAGTTCTTTATACCTACAAGAGCAAGGGAAAACACCACTTTGACAAGGTTTAGCAGTGTTTCAAAAGCAGGAGAAAAGAATGTTTGCTTCTGGGCTGGTGTGGTTTTTAAGGTGGGCCTTTCAAGCAGGGAACTCATCACAAATGGGCAAGATGTTTGATGCAGTAGTCTAAGGTGAAAGAGTAAGGTGAGGGTCTTGACGAGTCTAGAAAATCAAATTGATAATAAGCTGCTTTGTCTATGTAAGATGTTATCAATGATAGAAGAGCCATTTGCCTAGATGAGCAAATTGTGTATTTGTTGGTTTACAGTTCTATCTTATTAGATTGGACTCTTCTGGGGTGGCTTTGGGTATAAGTCCCAAATAAGTTATTTTGATGTGGGTGGTCTCAAGCATCAATATAAGATGCTAATTTTAAATTTGACACATTTTATGCATCATGTTAGGAAAGTCTCCCACATTTTATATTGTTCTAAGAAATTTTAGTCAAAGCTAGATGGTAGATAGAATCAAATATTTTTGCATAAATAATTGTATTCCTTAATTGTACCTTTATTGTTATGAAATAATTCATTTTCTATTATTGAAATTTTCTTTTTTCCTTGAATGAACAAACTTTATTTGCTTAAAAATGTTTTATATTTACTATAGAATTATAAGTATCTAATTTGATTTGGAATTTTTTCAAGTTTACTACTAAATGACATTAATCTGTAATTTTCTTTTCTGTTCTATTTTTGTCATGTTTTGATATGAGATTCCTGGTCATGTTAAAATGGTTTTGAGATTTTTTTTATACTCTGTGCTCTTCAATGGGTTGACAAGATCTAGCATTAATATCAATGGTTAAGCATGCGCATCAATTCAGTCATCTGAACTCTCCTTTGTTTTTAGTGCTTTGGAGTAGAATTAAGGCTATCTAGAAAATTTTCTCACTTTTTTATGGTTATTATATTTTGTTTCATCTCTTATATTTAACTTGTTTTCACAATCCAAGCAGATTTTCAGAGAAGCAAAAAATTATACAAAGTGTTTTTTTTTTTATCACTCTATTTCTCATTTCAATTAATAGCAATTATCATTCTAGTTTTGGTTATTTCTGCTATGCTTTTTCTTAATGAAATAAGTTTGACTTATGAATTTTTTTGCGTCACTCGTGCTTCTTCCCCTCAATTGGTTTAATTATCAGGTTTTTTTTTTTCCAGTGTTATTTCTTTATTTTTATGTATTCCTTTTTGTTTCTTCTAATAAATTCTTCATAATCACTTATTTTAACTTGTTTTTGCTAATGAAATATTTTCTCTGTTGTGAGTTTTAGAAAACTTTCATCATGAACACATTGTAAACATAGAGAATATGAGGAGGAAAGAATAGTGAAATTGCAGATACCAGGAATCAAAATTCCACCATCATCAACATTTTGCCATATTCAGCCTGTGTCATTTGTAAAGTATTTTCTAGTAAGTTAAGGAAGCAATAATATTTCTTCCCCCCAGAAAAGTTTTAAAATTTTAATTTTTTAAATTATAATGTATGTTTCAGGATTTACAGGATAAAAGACACTCCCCAAAAGGTAATTCACCTTATTTCTGTCCTCCATCACCATCTAATTTCCCTTCCTGGACTCATGTATTACAGTTTCTTGTTTTTCCTTTCCCAAATACATACATACACATACACATACACACATGCATCCTGAAATGTGTATGTGCGTATATAGACATACACACACATACTTTTATACTGTTCTGTAACTTTATATATTTACATAATGTATAATTTTCAAAATTGTCTGCAAATCAATTTCACATCAGTATATGAAACTTCTTTTTTTTTTTTTAAAGATTTATTTATTTATTTATACAAGCACTGGGTACAGTCAGAAGTGCATGAGGGTGAGAGAATTCACCAGAGCCAGAGCAGGGAACAGAACAGGCAGAAGGACTGAAATACACTGCTGAGGGGAGCAGCGGGCGGCAGGAGAGGTCTGCGCGCCATGTGGGACCCTCGCTGGCAGCCGGGGATCCAACTGGCACTGCAGAGGCTGTGGGCAGCTTTGCAGCCCAGTGCTCAACCGCTGCACCACCAGGGGAGGCCTGAAACTTATTTTTAATATTTGTATTTTACATAGTAGATTATACATAGTTAGATGCATAGATCTTAATTGTATAATCAATGAATTTTCATAGTTATTTAAGAAACAGAATATTTTTCTTAGCTAAGAACCTCCCTACACTGCCTTCTTCCAGCCAAGCTTAATTCTCTTAAGAATGTTCTGATTTGTGTCATCATTAGATTAGTTTTGCCTTTTCTTGAAATTAATATAAATATAATCACACAGTATGTCTTGCTTCTTTAGTCATCATATTAGTTATTGAGTTTTATGTGTTATTGTCTTGTCAGTCTCCTTTTGATGATTATCTCCAGTTTTTAGCTGTTTTGAGCATATTAGTATTTAATTACCTTAAAATGGAATTTACTTGATTGCAACATATAATTTACTTAAGAAATTGCCAGTCTTCTGACAAGGGGGAAGCTTTTCACACTCTCAACCAATAGTAAAGGAGATTATCAGTTACTGTCATTACTAACAGACATTTTTAAAAAATGTTGTCATTTAAAGAAAATATATCCATTCAAGTGTAAAATGGCATCTTATTATCATTTTAATTTATAAGTTAGACACTTAAGGAGATATATAAAAAAATTTTTCATGAGGCTAGCTGTCAGTCATTAATCTTCTATAGTAAAATTTGTTTAAATTTTTTCCAATTTTACTTATTATTTTCAAGCAATTTTGGACTTTAAGGAAATTTCCAAAAGTAGTTCAGACAGTTCCTGTGAATTCCTTACCCTGCCTTCCTAATATTAATATTTTATATAACTTATTATAATATTAATACATTAATATTTAATGAAATCTGGAAATTAGCCTTGATATAATACTATTAATGAATTTAAAGACCATATTTGAATTTTGTCAGTTGTCCTGCTAATGCCCATTTTTCTAGTTCAGAATCCAATTTAAGATTCCACATTTGCATTTATTTGTCAGCTTCTTTTTTCTCCATACCTGCCCCCCATCCTGTGAAAGTTCCTCTCTTTTTTGTATCTCATTACCTTGACATGTTTAAGGAATACTGGACCGATTTTGTATAGTATTTCTCAATATGATTTTGTCTGGTATTTTGTCATGATTAGATTAGAGGTTATGCACTTTTGGCAAAAATAATACAGTGACAGTTATGTGTGTTTTTGGTGGGTTATATCAGGCCTACTGGTCATTATGTCTTATTTCTGCGGGTGATTAAGGTGGTTGGTGTATGCCCGCTTTCTGCACTGCAAAGTTGTCATTTTTCTCTTTGTAATTAATAATTTTGTAAAGAGATACTAAGAAATTACACACATATCTTCTTTCTCAATACTGCACTTCATAGTGCCCATCGATGAGTCTTGCCTAGAGCACTTATTACCATGAGCTTTACCTGATGAGGGTTTCCTATTTTTGTGATACTTTCTTTACTTCCTCATTAAAATTTGACTGTAAGGAAGAACTTTCCTCCCCCATTTACTTATGTTCTCAGTTGTTTGACTTCAGTATGGATATATTGGTATTTTTTTTTTTTTTGAGAGGCATGTTTTCTTTCTTTCTTTCTTTATTTGTTTGTTTTGTTTATACATGCACTGGGTACAGTCAGAAGTGCGGGAGGGTGAGAGAATTCACCAGAGCCAGAACGGGGAGCAGAGCAGGCAGAAGGACCGAAGTACACTGCTGAGGGGAGCAACGGGCGGCAGGAGAGGTCTGCGCGCCATGTGGGACCCTCCTCTGGTGGCCGGGGAGCAGCCAGGGATCGAACGGGCGCCGCAGAGGCCGCGGGCAGCTTCGCAACCCAGCGCTCAACCGCTGCGCCACCGAGGAGGCCCATATTGGTATTTTTTTAAAAGAAATATTTATTTATTTACACAAGCACTGGGTACAGTCAGAAACTCAGGAGGGTGAGAGAATTCACCAGAGCCACAGCGGGGAGCAGAACAGGCAGACTGACGAAGTACACTGCTGAGGGGAGCAGTGGGGGCGGCAGGAAAGGTCTGCACATCATGTGGGACCCTCGCCTGGGGGCCAGGGATCGAACTGGCCCTGCAGAGGCTGCGGGCAGCTTTGCAGCCCAGCACTCAACTGCTGTGCTACCAGAGAGGTCCTATTTATTTTATTGTTTAGACTTGAATAAATTGCAATAGTTATTTTTATTTCTAAAATTTCAAAAATTGACCATTGGGAGATCCTTTAAGCTGGCCCCTATGTTCCTTTCACAAGCCCACACAATTTTCTTAGCACTGATTAATTTCCTGGTTCACCAAGATGCACTAGGCTAATCTATTATTTTTTTCCTCTAAACCTGTAATCAATCATTTCTTCAAGGAGTTCTGGTTCTTTGCATTGGAAAATAGCACTTAGAAAGCAAGGCCTGGGTGTTAACATATACTCATTTCTACTGGGATTTCATTTTGTCTAGGCCCTACTAGTGTACAGAGTTGAAAAATAGGTATAGTTCCACTCAATATGTTGCACATACCTGAATTACTTTTCCCTCTATCTGTGAGTGTGTTCCTCACTGATTTTTCTGGTACAGCCCAATATCACTGGGCTATTTTTAATCTTCCTTTTTTCCATATTTATAACTTCTTTCTCCAATGACAATAAACCTACCTTTCACTATACACAATATGTTTTCTTATTTCTTATATAAGCCAATACATATGTAAATTAGTTTCAAAATTTCTAAACTGTACCACTTTAAAAAAACTCACTCACTCAAATAAAATATTTAAATATCATTCTTTTTTCTTTGCCCTTATTGTATCCAGTTAGCACATTTTTTTTCAAACTTGCTTAGGCTAGTTTTTTTCCCTCCAGGCCACTACATTTGTTAATCATAAAATCATTTACTTTTCTCGCTGTTTACATTGCATTTGATTTGACTATGTACTTTTTCCTATGTGAAACATTACTATGTTTCTAAGAAATAAATTTGTGACAATCATCTCTCTACTACACTATATTAGTTCTATTCCTTCCTTCTTTTCATCCTATTTTCATACAGAAACTGGATAACTGTCTCATTAGTTTCTGACTTCTTTTCTATTGCTGTTGTTCACAAGTGGGCAAATACATGCATATTTTATCACATCTCTTTCCCTGGAACATGAATGGTTACATACAACTGAAGCTTTGTCACAGTTTGCCTTTCCCACTTAATGTATCATTTTTATTGAATTACGTGATTTTTGCCAAAAATTATTTCTGTTTTTCCATTTTATGCCATCCTTTTTTTTAAAAAAAAGATTTATTTATTTATGCATACAAGAGCTGGGGTATAGGCCAGAGGTGTGGGGTGGTGAGAGGATTCATCAGAGACAGAGTGGGAAACAGACAGGCAGATTGACCAAAGTACACTGCTGAGGGGAGCAGCGGGGCAGAGTCAGGAGAGGTCTGCTGCACCATGTGGGTTGCTCCCTGGCTGCAGTGGCTGTGGATAGCTT